CCCCACCACGACAAGGTGAACGCACGTTGGGGGGGTGTCAATAATTATCTATTACAACTTCAAATGATAGCAAATATCTAAAGTCCGACCGTAATTTATGCCAGTCAAGTTTTATATTCTGTTTTATTAACTATGGCTCTGTCATCAAGTAGGATTAAGTAGTATAGACTTTATAACTGTGTTGTATACAACCCTTATTATCGTCCCAACGCTGAGCGCGGGTAATTTTAATGCTAGGGGAATCAGGTCATAGACCACCACACTAGCAAAGTGCTTCACATGTCTTCCGAAAACTTACTAAGTTCTCTCAGACATGCAGGTTTCCTTAGGATGTTTTTTTTTTCACCGTGAAACAAGTGGTGATCATGTTGAAAATGTTACGCACATGAGAACATCGGATGTGCGAGACGCGGGATCTGATGCTGCTTCACCCAGTTTCCCCAGCGAGCGCGTAACCACTGGGCTACCACCGTGTTATAACTGTTAGTTCTAAAAAAATATATAATGTTTATTCGTTATTGTATATTTAAAAAAAATCAAACACAACAATCTTCGATAAAATATGTGTGTACTTTAAAAGTATAATATGACGTAACTATATTCTCAACTAGTGCGAGTGCTATAATGATGATCTTGTTATAATTGGAGCTTTTGTAAATCATTCCATATAAGGCGCATCAGTATGTATAGCTTTAAGTATGCTGCCATTACTTTTTATAACTGACTATATTTAACACACTATTTTAAGAAAACCCGTTACACTATTTAAGAATTCAACTTATTAAACAGACTTTTTAACAAAATATTATAAATTATTAATAAATAAAATGTATAATATATTTAATACGGAACATAAAAAATGACCGCCATGACTTTAAATAGACATTTTCTACGCATATGTTCAATACAAAAGGCATCGATCGAACCTGCATTCACCGTCTAGATCACCGTCTAGTCAAGTAGATCGATAGGCCATACGAAAAAATTTCATACAGGCCTCTATATATAAATACAGTGTATAGATACCGATCCCACCACTCCATTATTGTATGATCGTTTTATTATTTAAAGTTATGCTGTGTCGACGTCCGACGTATGCCATCCGAAAAATAAACTTCGATACTTGATATATTTTACTCAACGCGCTTATACTGAGTTAATAATTCAAGTCACGTGACTATATATAGTATATATTGTTGTTTACTTACGATGATTAATATATATTTTTTGTTGAATTGATTGAATATCGTTTACGTTTCGAAATTTGTTATTTGATAGATTATTTAGACCTATTTTTTATTTCGCGAAACACTATGATTAGCTCAAGTCATAACTGCATCTGCACTTTAGATTTACGCCAATATAATTTGAATTTTTAAATAACCTCAGTGTCTCCGATTACCATGTTTGCTGTAAAGCATCGAAACGTATCGTGAAGAAGAAACATTAATACCGCGAAATAATTCGAAATAACAGTTTTTTGTGTATATTATACAATGTTTTATGTTTTTAGTACTTTTAGTTTCTATACCTTTGCTACAAATGTATCTTATATTTCAAAGAAACAAATATTATTTATAATAATTATTATGTCTTATTTCGATTGCAATTTTATATTTTTACTTTAACTTTCATATAATATTAGTGAAAATACTTTTTATTTCATGGAATATTCTTTTTGGCTTGAAGCAAAGCCGCTGACTTTGTAGTTTTTTTTTTAATTCGTCTCGGCTAGTATACAGCTGGATCATAGCCAATGTTTAAACGTCAAGTGATAAAAAATTATGCATCAGATTATACATAAAGCTAGTCTGGTGATTGTGAGAATTAAAAAGGTTTTTATTATAATTGTTATATTTATTATATCATTTTTTTACGTAAAAATATATAGCTAAGTATTAAGGAATTGTGCTTAGTGTTTAAGAGTTATTCACCCCGCACAATACACACACCCCACATAACCACGTGTATATATAATAAGAAGGTATCCTTTATTTCGCTTAATACATATATGAGAATTGCAGTTACAAAAGCAAAGTACGAAAAGATACTTTTTCCGCGTAGCAAAAAGTCTTTGTAAAATCTAGAAAATGCACGGACCTCGGATACAAATTTTATATAATTAAATATAATATTTATATGACAAGTAAAACACACGCGATAATGATTCGTCATTCTTTGGTGGGAATTGGAACATCGTAAAGGAAAATCCTAAAGCTTTTACCAGCTAACCTTATCCTTATATGACGAAATAATTTTCCTTATTAGATATTTTAAACTTAAAGATATATTAACAACTAGCGACTCAACCTCGCCCTTTAGCCCTTATTCGACCTTAGTTACGTTCTTAAGTTAACATTTAGTATAGATTTCTCAGAGATTGATGTAAAAAATATCCCATATGTTGACCCGGATAACCAGCTCTCATAATATCAAATTTCACGAAAGTCTGTCCAGTAGTTTTCTCGCGATGCGCTCCCAGACAAAAAAATAGCTGCTTCACAATGAATGGCTATACATTCAATTTGCCGATGTAGTTAATACTGCAGTGGAAAATGGGTTAAAAATGTAAAATTCACATTGTCTACGCAATACAGATCCAATATTCCATGAAAATGTTTTTTTTTATAAGAAATGTTATGGTTTAAAATTTTGCAATAAATATATAATTTATTTAAAAAATAAATTTTAAAATTTAGGTTTGATTTTTGATGTCTTTATAAACAGATGAAATAGAATTAAAAACAGCTAATAAGTAATGGTTAAATGGACTTTCATACTCTGTACCCTACTCTCTATACAATGACGGTTAATTTCAATACTATTGGACTAAATAAAAATATAGGCGCGGTCGAATTTGCAAGCATTTAAAGCTAGCTATAGGTTATTTTTATAACCATTGATAAGAAACGTGAGAAGTACCACATTATGTTTTTATACGCTTATTAAAATATCCAATAGAATGTTTTTCCGTGGATATGCTGTCCTTCAACTTGACTTGTATGATCGCGAGTCTCGACCTCGGAATTGCGACCAATGTTGTGACCACACGTTCTAGTTATGTGGATTAAAGCTGACTATTATTATAAATATGAACATTTGTATGTATGTTTGTACGCTGAAACATCTTTGTTAATATAAATGAAATAATAATTTCATATGTGATCCCAGATAGACTTTGATCTGGAGTTGATACATACCTACTGTTTGGCACGTAAGAACGCACTCGAGCGAAACGAGGATGAGTCGCTAGTATAAAATAAATTAAGATGTTGGTTCCCTACGTTAGAAATGGTCTTCCTACATAAGCTTCTAAATACCATAATGATAATTGCAAGGATAATTATTGTAATGTAAACGCTTTAAAAGCTCTCCATGATGAATTTCCTGCGGGTAACAGTCGTCGTAATCATTTCAAACGTTTAACCGTCATAAAGTAAATAGCCATTGTGTTAATTCAAAATATTCATACTTTTCTATACATGTAAATTATTTTTCTGTCGCCACCAGACAATAATATCAGATTATGTGGCAATATTGAAATCTTCTGTTGTAATTTGATGAAGTTGTGAGGTTTTATTATTTTGTAAAGTTACCTACGTATATACAGGGGTGGTCCATATATAGTGGGCCAAGATTTTTTTTCAGGTAGGTAGAGGACACCCTAACGGCTCATTTAAAAAAAAATATTAGTTCCGTAAAAATTAATAGTTTAGAAGTTACGATTTTTTTTAGAAGTATCTCCTCGAATCATACAAATCAATGTTATTTGAATGTCAATCTCATGACATTTGGCATTTGAATAGAGAAGTCATGTAGAAAGCATACATTGAAAGATTTGTTTATTTTTTCTTAGCATTTTCTATTGTTTTAAACTTTATATTGATTTATTTATTTTTATGGCAAAGAAAAAAAATATCTTTGAACCACTGTCGTAAAATTGTTACAACTACTTTGCTTACGACTTTTAAAACTGACTTAGGATGTGATGATAGCCTTAACAAAAAATCGTAGTGATGTAACTACTAACGTCCTTAGAAATTCGCATAATAAATTAAGTTGTTTTTTTTAATACAAAATTTGAAATTTCTTATTTAGTAAATAACTAAACAACTACCTGAGTTAATATTAAAACCAGTCAAGTACGAGTAGGACTCGCGCCTTAAGGGTCCCGTAACACCGTACCACCAAAAAAAAATTTGCGCTTAAAATGTAGGTCTTTTGCTAAAACATAGCATCCTATGTAAGTATCTCCAAGAAGGAGTATCTTCTATACATACCTATAATAAAATTCTAACTGAGTTGAATCTGTACATTGAATTGCTTTGGAAAATCTTATTGAAATAGACATTATTATCGATACAGAGGCCGAATCTATAGGTTTTAGAATTTTTGTCTGTCTGTCTGTGACCGCGTCATGAAAAACCGTTGGAGGGATTTTGATGAAATTTGTTATGATGATTGCTAGATATCCGGGTCAATATACCTACAGGACACTTTTTACTGCGGGAAAATATCTCATCTCTGAGTAATCCGAACGACGACGAACCCGAGCGGAACTAGTGGGAGTCTCTAGTCAATAATATAATCGAAAAATAAGTCAACTATGTCGTAATTAATGCCATAACACATTGATATATAATTGTTATCTTAGATATTACGGTTATAATAGAAACGTTTTTATACAGAGTCACGCGAATTGTATCGTTCAATTTGTAGACATAACTCATAAGTAGTGATAGTGTAACCCCCATTGTCCATTTTTTTATTATGTAGATTCCTTCAATAACGTCCGATTTAGTAATTAGATAAACAAATAACACATCTATACATGCTTGCACTTTCTAGATTTGAATCTGTGGGCTCAAGGCCTTTACCACGGTAATGTAGTAATATTACCGTGCCTTTACATACGTTGACGGGCACTTGTCACGCGTTTGTATCGATACGAACGCAAGTACCTAATCTGCTATTTTTTAGGTTTATCAATACAAAATAATATGCGGAGACGTAAGCTTATGACACGCGCGTCGTCGGCGAGTTTATGAAAGGTGGTGTGCTTTTTGATTGATCAGCGCAAAATAGTCTTAAAAATTGTGGTGTGCATGGACCTTTAGGTGTTTTAAGTCGTGGCAATCACGCATCCACTGCACCCTATCGTTTTGTAGCCCTCTCGTTGTTATTTTAATTAAAATATTGAACGTATTTATTTAAATAGTTCAGAATAATAAAACACTTAGCCTCTGGAAAAGTTAAGACAAAATACTGCAGTTACGGCTATTGTAATTTACTAAGGTAAAGAATTGTTTCCGAGACCTTTGTCTTGCGATTTGCACCGGGCTGTAATCTCTTACCGTTGATACTTAGTGGGTTTCTTCATGTTAAAATTTTAATTTCCTACCATTCGACAATATTTTATTATCCCTTCAACGTTATTTATTCTGAGCATACAAGTTAACTACCGATTAACCCTTGCTATGCCCTCGTGCAACTCTAGGTGTCTGGCTGCCGATGTTACTCCAGCCTCCAGGTTTTCAGGTTGACGATTCAAATGTACTTTTAAAAGTCTATTGAAATAAAGTATAGGTATTTTTATTTGATTTTTCTTATGCAATGCTAACGTGTTTTTATTTTAAATTAATAGCTAATAGTTAATTATAAGCACAAATAATTAATATCATAAATCATTACTTAAATCAATTAACCGCTGTTATTTTATAAAAATATAATTCAAATTATATAGATGTTATTGACCACATTACAGTAAATTTTCTAGCAAAGCGTAATTTGATTCTTGATTAGAAACAATATTTAAAGAAGATCTGGGCGATACTAAAAAAAAGAAAATTATAATTTTTGTCCTCTGCGTTAAAGGATTGAGAAGAAAATTCACTTCACGAAAATCGAATCTGCGACCACCATCATAATAAACAATAACTTAATTTAGTTAAATAAGTAACAACATTACAGTTTTTATTACAATTTTAAAATATTTGTTTTGTTTTATATACCTACAACAGTTAATTTCATAAAATAATTATGTTTTATAACATCACATTTTTATACAATTTTGTTCTATTAAATGCAGCGAGGAAACCAGTTAACTCCCGAGGGCGTAGTGTTAATCTCTCCTCGAAAGTGGTTTTCGTACTGACACATTTATATAGTAATTAATTTTACACGTCCTCTAATTTATGTTGTCTCAAGTCGTTATTCAAATGTAGCTCTTACGAATAGGTATTGATTTGATATTTTCCTTAATTATATCAATTCAAAGTTTGCGGAAATTGTGTACAAGGCTTAAACATGGAATTAAAATAACTAATATTATATTTTATAAATATTATACATTTTATTAGGCTTTTTTATTTTCCCGCGTGTAGGTCATCAATTCAGGATGACCTACACGCGGGAAAATAAAAATATATTCTATTATTTGTAATCTGTTCTAATCTACTCTAATATTATAAAGAGGAAAAATTTGTTTTTTTTTTGTCTGTTTCTATCGAACAGGCTCCGAAACTACTGAACCGATTTATTGTTAGATGAAATTTGGTAAGAAGATACCAAACTATCTCTAAAAAACCCTGGGAAGGACATAGGATAATTTTCATTCCGGAAATCATGCCATATGGGGTTAAAGTTTGAACGTGGAAGCAAGTACTAATATAAATGTAAAAGTTTGTGAGGATGGATGGGATGTATGCTTATTACTCTTTCACGTCAGAACGGCTGTACGGATCTGGATGAAATTTAGCACAGAGATAGATTACAGTCTGGAATAGCGCTTAGGCTTTTTATCCCGGAAAAACGTACGGTTCCCGAGGGATAGATTAGGGACGAACCCTCAGCGAAGCAAGGGTGAGTCGCTAGTACGTAGGTACTATACATACATACATTCTAGGTAAAAATTTAACCGCTCTATATAGTAGATTATTTCTTCAAGTTTTAATAAGATCATACTCAAGCTATTAAATAAACCTATTTAATTTAAAAAAATACAGGCTGGCTGCCTATCTAATTTTTTAAAGTTCATAATTAAATCAATATTTGTTCAGTCTATTTACACGGTATATTAATAGTTCCACCCTTGAAGTAAACTCTTTAATAAATAAATATACATATCATAATTGAGAACCTCTATCTTTCATGATCGCATTATATATTTCTTTATAGAAAGATGGAGACAACATACCTAATACCTCTTAAAGTCGACACTGTATTGATGTATGTTCTATGAATTGTGTTTCTATTTATATATGTGTTATGAATTATACCACATATCTGTTCAACGAATGAATATTTGCTCTAAACGATAATCGAAGCTGTGATCATTATTGTTATCATTTTTATTATTATATTCAACAGTAAACTCCTACATGTTTTCAACAATATATACTTAGCAGGTCTTTCTTTCTTGCAATAGAATAAGATTTTATAAAAGTGATCATTGGATTTAACATTATGATTCATTGAAACCTATAAGGTCACCCAATGTTCAAAATTTTTGGAATATTTAAATTTGAGTCATCACTTACTCAGTTACACAACGCCTTATTGGAGCTTTAAATTTGTTGATATAAACATTTTTAAATAAGGATTTAATTTCAAATTTAATTGCCTCATGACACGTGAGCCATGTTGTTTCTTTTTACTTAATTTTTAAAATAGCTTATTACCATTACTCAATATATTGGCTCGAATCTCTATGGGTTTAATAAAGCTTGGCCGTTTTAAATTATACTTCGAATTACTATTACAAATGCGAATTTTGTGTGTGTATGTCATCGATTAAAAAAGTACTAAATACACAATCAGCGACAAAAAATTTCCTCACGAATGAGCGCTCATTTGAATATTTGAGCGCGCTTTTATTTTTATTTTTTGGTGAAAACAACTTCAAGCATTGCATTTAAGGTTCAATTCACATTGTTGTATATTTATTTCAACTAAAATAATTATAATTAATTACCTATACACAATTGGTGACAGTTTTAAGAGATCTGCAGCATGGGATTTTCTATCTAGTACTTTTTTGATCGATGGTGCATGTTTGTTTGTTACTCCTTCACGCTGGAACGGCTAGACTGATTTGGATGAAATTTAGTAGTGTAGTAGAAAGTTTTATTATAAATTAAAAAAAAAATTATCATTTCTTGCTAGGCAATGATGAAGCAAAATAAAATAAAGGCAATTAAGCGCTACTACGTACATAATGAAATATGTTTTATACAAAAAATCACACGTATTTAAATTTAAATATGCTTTATAACTTTCAACTATTCATTATTCACAGGTAAAGAAGTCCAGAAAAGATGGCGGTCGATACGCGATTCGTACACCAAAGCTTACAGACAGGGCAAGTGTCCGCCCCCCGAGCAGCAGTGCCCGCCCGGCAGCAGGCGCTACCAGTACCACAGGCAGATGTCCTTCTTGCTTCGTGCTTTGCAGAATAAGTAAGTTTCTGCCTTACATTTATTAATTCCGGCTATTGGCAGGGTCTTCCTTCCTACTTAGTTTCCTCCACTTTGCACGGTCTTTAGCATCGTCTCCTGTGTACGTCTAAGTCCATTAGCTCATGTTTTGCTTCACGACATCCAGCCATCGCTTTCTTGTGCGCCCGGTCTAGTTCCAGGATAGATATATCAACGCACTTCCTTCCTCATCATTCATCGTGCGACATCATCAACAACATTGTCGTCATCATTTATCATCCAATTAATATTATAAATGTGAATGTTTGTGAAGATGTGTGATTGCTTGTTACTCAACTGTTAACGTACTCGTATTTGGATACTTGGCACATACAAACTAATTTATCATTAATATTTAGTTTCGGAGATTGGCACGATTCTGTTTCAAAACTAATTAGTCATTGGTGTATATGGTACTAGTATAAATATAAGGATTTGTTTATTTGTTTGTACCAAAAAATATACAAACGGAAAGCTGCATTGTATCGTAAATGCATATACATGTTAATGGGCGTACCATGCTAAGCGGTGGTGCGGGTGAAAACTAGTCTTATGTAATATATATATTATACAAAATGCCATCAAATTATTTCCTAGTCTTTTTGTAACTATATGTGCTATCGGGATAAACAGTTCATTTTTTAGGGTTATAGGGTCACCTCGTGGTCCGTCTGTCTGTCAAGACCTTTTTTCTCAGAGTTATCAAAGTTGAAATTGATATCAAATACACGAGTCTGCAATCCCTTGGAGCTGTGAAAAAATCAAACTTCTAAATCAACGCAATCAAAAGATGCGGCCGTTTATTCCGCATGTTTTGATACTGTCAAGATATTCAAAACCTATAGAGTACCTACAACCCATTGACCTAGAAAGAATAAAATTTGGCAAGAAGCAATATCTTTAAGCGCAAGCAAAGGGAAAAATTCGAAAACCGAAAATTTATTTTTTATTATAATTTTTTTTTGCGTTTAAAAACTTATTTAAATGTTTCATGCTACGGAATCATCGGTGTGTGAGTCAGGCTCGCACTTGTCCATTTTTGTTTTATTTTAACAAATGTAACAAGGAAACGGTGACAAATGTCAGTGCTTCGTCATATAAAAATGTTTAGAACTTCTCTCTGTCTACATTTGATGTCAGTAATTTATTTTGTTAAAGTTTCGAATGAAACCATGAAACTAAGTTAAGCTTAGTTTATGAAACAGTTGTATGACATATTGTTCAAACATAGTTTACAGAACTATTGAATAATTGCCATCAAGTCGTTCCGCGATGGTATTATGTGGGTAATAACTGTGTAAGATGGCATATCCGTCTCAATAACAATAAGTGTTCGAGTCACCAAGAGTATTACTGTCTTATGCAAAATTTACATGAAACACTGTTTGTTTTTATAATTTCACGCGATATTTGTACGGGGTAAGAGATGTAAGAATTCTTTGTCGAGACAGTTTCTTTGTTTTGTTTAGACCTATCTTAACATGGGGCTTAGATAATGTTATTCTACAATTGTTGAATAATAGAAATTGGTATTTCTTATTGAAATGACAAAATCATATCCTAAAATCATATTGTCATTAACATAGAATTTTTTAGATTTCTACTTGTCCATAAAAATTGTAGGATAACTATCTAACTAATAAAATAACTAATGATTATCTAAGCTTATAATTTTCTTAATATATTTACGTATATTTAATGTTTATATTTTCTTTTTATTTTCCAGAAAACCCCGATACTCCCAAGACAAATACGAATCTTTCTCCGAAGTATCTAACTCCCCTCAACACCCGCCACCCGAAGACATACCGCGTATCAAACACGAACTGCCCGACAGACCACTGGACTTAAAAACCAAACCAGACCTACCAGACAAACCAGAAACACTAGACAAATGCAACCAAGCAACCATAGACACAGACAAAAAACTAGAAATCAAAATAGACGCTAATTCAATCCTCCCTGACGACCATTTCGATGATGACAAACTGTTCATGAACTCCTTACTGCCACTATTTAAAAAAATGGACGACGATACAAGGTTACTATGTCGTATCGAGGTTTTGAAGATTATTAGATATGCGCTACAAGGTCACAAGTGTTTTGAAGCGTTAAAAATGGCGGAAGATAGTTTTTTTAAGAATCGCATGAGCGGTATATTGGCGAAGGAGGAAATTGTGGACAGTTCGATATCGAAGTCGAATGAAACTAAATTGTCTATGACTACACGGTCTGCTGATGGCAGTCGGCCGGTGAGGAAACGGCGGGTGAGTTTTTTTATTTAGTTACTGTAGTGGTAGCCCAGTGGTAACGCGCTCGCTTGGGAAACCGAGTGAAGCTAGTTCAAATCTCGGGTCTCGCACCTCTGATATTTTCATGTGCTAATAAATTCCAACATGATTACAACTTGTCTTAACGGTGAAGGAAAACATCGTGAGGAAACCTGCATGTCTGAGAGAACCTACCAAGTTTTGGAAAGACATGTGAAGTCCGCCAACCTGCACTTGGCCAGCATGGTGGACTACGGCCTGAATCCCCTCTTACTGAAGGGAGGCCCGTGCCCAACAGTGGGACGTTAAAAAAAAAAGGACTGAATACATACAGTTACTGTAGACACAGATAACAATTTACACAATTCTTTACTAGTGCAGATGCACAATCCCATACAAAGAAATTGCATAGGGCAATCTAATTAGGGTTTTGTTTTTTTATGTAAACATATGTGTATGTGTGGCGTTGCAACCTTTCAAAATGTTTTTATTTTATAAATACGTACGTAGTATGTACTACATTATGTAAAATACAGCAAAATTAATTTTGCATATAATAAAATTAATTAATCGATTTCAAGCTTGGTAGATAACTTTTAAAATTTAAACAACGCTATCTATGAATATGAAGTACAAACACATTTTCTGATTTTTAATAAATATAATTATCGACGTTTGTTTTAATACCGCATTATTTTATTACTGAGAGTATTTTTAATACCAAATGCCTTTTTGAATCGAAGTATATTTTCCTTATATTATTTTTACTTTTTACACAATAATCAATAACAAATCGATTCACATAACGCCATCTGTTACCTATCTTCGTTAACTAGAAGTGAAGTATAGTTAATTTACAATTATTAAGTTTTAATATGATTTTAAGTCGATTATTAAGAGAAACTGGCTTTCCCCGCGTCTAACAATAACCTATAATTCTTGTCAATGACATTCATACTAATCGTACTCTTAAGAGTCTTTTATGGCGCAAATGTGATACGAACGTGTTGTTTTTATAATAGTGCTTTAAGATTTTTAATAAATATCTTATTTTATTAATTAGCAATTCTTGTATATACGCATTTAAAAATTTATTTCGTGTATTGGAAACAGTTGTAACGATTTTAATCAAATTTTGTATTCAATTAAGGTTTTGCTTTATAAGTTTATCTGTGTTGTATAATATTTGTTTTTGTGTTCTTATAATAGGCCCGTTCCCCGTCACCTCTACCAATGCCACCGAAAAGACGGGGTCCCGGCAGACCGAGAAAGGTATTTAATTTTCTTATTTATATACTAGCAAACGTATTGGTAAAATTATATAATTAAAATAAATTGCTTTCAAAAAAAAGTTATATGTAAATCGTCCTATCAATTTTTGAGTGACGCTAAATATAATTGCTTCATATTAAAAGGCTTTTCAAAATCAACGGGAATATTTAATACCACCTTAAGGCTGTTATTGAGAGCTTTTGCACGACCCGGGATTCGAACCCAAAACCTCCGGATCTGCGGCCGTACATACTAGCCATAAAACCAACGAGGTAATACGTAATCAAGTAAATATATAATTAATTTTAACACGTATCCCCAGGTGCGACCGCCGCCATCGGATTCAGATGAGGAACAGCTCTCAAAGAAAAGGTTTCCAAAGTTGAAAGTGCCGCCGATAGACGTGTCGCTGGCGGCGGAGGAGGACTCCTACAACAAGGCCACGAGTGTCGCCCAACTGTCCACGCCTTTGTTTATGAAAGTATGTATTTAATGTGATAAAAAGTATGCCTTTTTAACAGACTTCCATAAAGGAGCAGGTTCTATGGTCGTTACTATATATAATATGTAAGTATTTAAAGTTATATATGTGTAGTGTATCAACTATCTGGTATCCATAACACAAGCCCCGTAGCTTACAATGGAACTAGATGGTGCTGTGTGTTAATGTCCCAACTTACGTGGCTTGACCGATTTTGCTATTATAAACTGTATTAAGGTAGGTTCCAAGGTGGGTCCCCCCCAACGTGCGTTCACCTTGTCGTGGTGGGGGGGCTCTGTAGTACCCGGCAATCCAACAGGGCGCGAAGCTAAGAAACGCACAGGGAGGTTGCCCACTTCGGTGGGTGGTGGGAGGTGGCCCTCTTTGGGGGGCGGTGTACCATGCGGGTTGCTCCTGGTACTTCTCTGATAACAGAGTGGACTGTGGAGCAACCCCATGGTTGTGGTGGTCTGCTTCGGCAGACCTGCCGTCGGGGCGTCGTAGTTGAATGCGTAAGCGATCCTGCGACGCCCCATTAAGACGGGGGAAGGTTTTGTTGGATTTTAGTGGGTAGTACTGGCTGTATTACGCCGGTGAGTCCCACACGTCGTGCGTAAATGCATTTCCCAACGTTAAAAAAAAAAGTTCCAAGGTGGGTCCCAGAAAATTTCTTTGAAAAAGACATCGTAGAAGGTATCGTATTGTTATTTTATTAATAAGCTTTTAGTAATAGTGTCTATTAATATAGAGAAAAAAAAACAGGAAGAATCTACATTAAATTAAGCATTTTCTGCGATATTGTCATTCGATAAAGGGGCAATTTCTAAGCTTAAAGCCAAGTTTGAGGGGCCGCTCGAGAGGTGCTGGCACTACTGTCGCGAAAAACGCGTTTTATTCAATATCTCTAAGAACAATTTCTTTTTTTAAATTAAATCTATCTTTTTTATTTAAACCTTTTTTTTCTTAAATAAATATTTCCATTCGCTAACATTTATTCGCTAGGTTAATTTATGCTACTATCCATATAAATTTCAAAAATAATTTCCATCCCAGAGGTTTTATACTCTCTCTTTAACTTTTTAGTTAAAAATAATTATTATTTTGTAATATTTAAGCCATTGTGCCTATTTACTTATAGTGTAATTATTATAATTACAGATGTACAACCTGGAACGATCAAAAATAGCTCCGGTGTCACCTCAGGGCCTGCATGTGTCCATCAAAACGGAGCCCGTAGACAATTGTTCACAGTCAGCGTTGAGTCCCACATAGGTTACATGATAAGTATAAATATATATTTGGCGTTTTTATATTCACTATTTAGAATATAGATAAGTTTGTTTAAATATTTGGAATTTAAAGCATTGGTTAGTTTAAATTTATTCTTTTTTTTTTTGCTTTCAATTTTGTCATTGAAAAGTTTTGTTTTGTATAAAAATGTTATTTTTGGACTTTCAGAATATCATTTACAAATATTGTATCCCATAATAATGCTAATATTTGTTTAGTTTTAAAATTTTCTTAAATAGTGATTATAAACAAACATTAATATTAAAATTAACTAATTGTATTTAACTCTGTAAACTCTATAGAGTTTGAAATGAGAAAAACATATTTTTAAAAAGTATACGTAATACAGATTGCTTATTTTTATCTAAAGCAATTTATTCGTTAGATGTCGATATTAAATAATATATTATACATAATCGATTAAATATCGATATTAGTGGATCATGAATGACATTAAAATTTATTATAATGGCGAATGATATTCCATTTTAATATATGGGGATAACTTTTGGAGTGTTGTCGTAATTTTCGTATTATTTTACTTTAATTCATATTATCACCTCCAGGTAAATTTCTAAGAAATTAATAAAAATTCTAAAAAATCTATTGTTAACTGACACGCCGACGTGTCCGCGGTCGTGGAGGGATTATTTTTACATTAAAAAATTAATTATTTTTTATTGTCTTAACAAAAACTGAACTTCTAAAGAAGGAAAGTTACTAAAAATTCCTTTTTCCTCACTATTGGTTTTTATATTTTTATAAGTTTTACTTCTTTTCATATTTGCTGTAAATTAATACGGAAATTATGAATAGTGTAACATAAATATTATAAATATGTATATATAATAAGTATATAAGTGTATAAGTAGATATTGTTTGTTTGTAGGAGTGAAATGTGATATATAATTTAGTTTAGTTGTAAGTGTACTTTTGTTTGGTCTTCCTTGACTTTATTGACTTTTAATCTTTATTATATATTCTTTTCTAGATATTTTAGTTTATTATATTCATAAAGAAACAAAGTCGAAGCATTTGTAGTTTTTAGGTTATGTTATAAGATGTCTCTAAGCCCTAAGGTATGTTTGGACTTGGTTATGCAGAAATGTACCAAGCACATTAAATTTGAGAAAATTTAAAATATAACCGAATTTAAAATAAAGTACATGCAACTTTATAATGCTCTCTGCTTTAAAACTTTTATGTATATTTTACATTTCTTATATTTAGAAAAAATGACACCAATGTGTTCTTTTTGATAAAATAAATTCACCCAAGAAATTGATAAATCGAAATGTTTGTTAATCATTTATTATAATTGAATTATATTATTCTATATGTTTGTCAGGTGTGAATAGATCTTGACTTGTTTTTATTGAGCAAAATAATGTTCAGTTGGAATGTTAATAACTCAATTTTTAATAATGTGTGGGTTGGTACATTTTGGCATAACAACATCCATTTTTAATTTAAATTTAACGCCTTTTTGTCTGTTGGAATATCCAGATTCGAAAATCAACAGTTTATCTTTTAAAATATACTGTTTTTGTTTCATATGTTTAGATGAATCAAGTGTGAAGCTCTTTATATACAGTCAGTGTATTGTGATTTTATATTAGAGTTATTGAAACGTACGTTATATGGGGTAGTCATAGCCTAATCGTGTTTTAAATTAAAGAGGAGCTTAAAGTATTGAATGTTTGTATATGTACAAAGAACATCTATCATACAGTGTCTTGTTTGGAGGATTTCATGAAAAGTAATTATTGTGGTGTAATAAATTATTATTATATATTGGTTTTAAATCTAGAACATTTTAATCTGTAAAGCATCTTCTTTCTAAAGGCTACAATTTGAGAATGTTTTTTAAATATAATAATTTCATAAAATGTACATACTACCTAAGGTACCTCGCTTCGCTCGGGTGCGTCCCGCGTTTTAATTTCTTTGAACGGAACCCTAATTCTTTTTGTAAAATAAAAGTAGCTTAAGTTACCCCTTATAAAATCAGCTATCTGTCAGTGAAACGTCCCGTCAAAATCAGTCCAGCTGTTTCGAATATTAACCAGAACAAACAGACAGACAAAAAGTTTAGTGTCTCAAAAATACCGTATATAATTTGATAATTAGATACGGTTCTCAAAAATATCTTATATAATTTGATAATCATTTAGTAAAAAGCAGTTATCTTGACATTACAAACTGACACTTCAATTGTATTTATCTGTACAGATGCGTGTAGCTACGAATGATTGATAAAGAATAAGCTTGGTCATCTCAAAATAAATTATTTTCTAAACGATCTTAGTTCAGTGACAACAAATATGTAGAGATATAAATAGTATAATTGTTTATTTAAGAAACAGAATAAATACTTTTCATGAAAGTGTAGATATAAGTTACAAGTTTTTAAAGATGATAAAATATTTGTACGAATTTAAAATGAACGATTCGTGTTTATATACATATATATGTATTTATATTGCCACTTTTGATGTAAGCTGTACATTCCAGATTGTAAGACAATAAGTCCGATCGAATGTGTCATACACGTAAATAAAAAAAAATATTTTCAATATTTGTATTTTATTTTAATATTTATTCATACATTTACATAATAAATCATTACAATTTATTTAATAATTAAAAAAATACATGAATATTCCTAATTTAAAACGAGCCATAAATAATATTATAGCTCGTTTTAAATTAGGAATATTCACGTATTTTTTTTCATTGTTACATGAACATCATAAAAAACATAGTATGGGTTGGAATTTTTCCATTTTTTAAAAACAATTTAAAAAGGATTTTAAAACATTTTAAAACTATAAATTAGAACTGGGCACCAGTTGGCGCCACTGGCAAGTAAGGTCCATTTGTTGTCGTTAAAAAGTACTTGCTAGTGCGGCCATAAATTTAATATAATAATAATTGTTAGCGCGACAGTTTATTAGGATTTTGTTTTATATATATAATAACCACATAGATAAAATACTGACTTTTTCTTAGCTCTTATTTTGAAGCAATAACATTTATTGTGCCGTGCCGTGTCTGCCGTAAGTAATCAGAAATGGCACAATGTTTACAAATAAACATGAATAATTGATGAAAATCCACGATGAAAAGCTCGCAAATAGTAAACATTCAGTGTCATTTGTCATTTCTAGAGACATTACTCTACACGAGCGCCTTTCGCGGCGCATCCAAGCACGATAGCCTTCATTAAATTTTCATTTAAGGCCTTCAACTATTTTCTTCAAACAGTGTAAATACCACATAAAACGTCACTAATATTTTTCCACAGTTTCTGACGCCACATTTTTCTAAACCATGTATTCTGCCGTCATAAAAAAGAAGGCCGCAGCGTCATCAAAGTTGATTTCGAGATATTTAAAGTTTTGTCTTAGTACTTAGTAGTAGTTTGTACGTAGTTACGATGAAAATGGTTATGGTATCTCCGGATTCATAAGACTTAAAGCTTTACGAGTAAGACTATCAAGTAGCCTTTGTTTTGCTAACTCCGAATCTGCATATAAATCATTTTTAACCACCAAATTGTTAGTTAGGGCCTTCTTTATTATGACGGCATAAATAAATTGTATGTGACTTTCGCAATTTGAATTTTCCGCTCACATTATAAGTCCTTTTGTTAGTGACAAAGCGCATGTTCCATTTGTAGAGCTACACAATAAAATGATAATCTATACTTATTGAAGATCATTTACACAACAGTGAATGTTAGATGACTAAATCTGACTATCAACCCACCCCTCTGCGGCGTACAACTCATGGGGCCCACAAAATACTTGTCGCATATAGGAAATGTGGATAATCTCAATGAATTCCAACAAATATTGTCTGTCGAGTATTTGACGCACACGACATTACCCAATTTCGTCAATCGAAGCCAAAATTTACTTGGGTCGCCTTGAAATACCCCTGCAATAAAATGATATTATATTTGAATTTTATACAATAATTAAAGTTAAAATTATTATTAAATAAAATTAAATTGTTTTAATTTAAAAAAAATAACATTCTATGGGGCATTTGACGTGACGCGGACAACGAAAATAAGGTGAGGTTGTGAAAATTGTTCATACTCTGGTCAGTTATAGTTCTAGTGGACATGGTTGTGCAAATACATTATTTTTTTCGTATGAGGCTTTATTGCCGAGGTATGAGCTTTTAAAAATTTACGAAGTATGAAATCCGTACTTTTTGAATGCTTATTATTTGTATCAATCAATTTGTAAAAATATCTAAAAAATATCGTTTCTGAAAGTTAAAAGGATGCAGTTTTTATTTTTTTTATGGAATTACAAATTTGTTTCTTTTTACGTATAGTAAACCGGAAGTGAAGATTTCAAATGGATGTTTGAGTAACTTCGACATAATTATTTTTCAATATTTTAACTTTGAATTAAAGCTTTGAATAGTTTAATTCTTCACAAAAAAATTATAACGTGATCGCCAATAGTTTAGGACTTAGAGCATATTGAGTACATACACATCGCTAGTAGAATTTTCGTAGCAGTCATGTTTATGAGTTAACATGCTAAAATACATTTTTAACATTGACTGAATCTATACATTAAATATTTTTTGGAAAATCTTGCTGAAAGAGTCATCATTATCAATACAGAGGCCGAATCTAGTTCTTAGAATTTTTGTCTGTCTGTTTGGTAAGGCATCACAAGAAAACCGCCGGACCAATTTAGATGAGATAGCTGGTTATATATGGGTCAACATATAGGATACTTTTTACTGCAGAAATATATCTCATCTCTGAGAGAGATGTATAGATTTATACTAAATGTTAAAACGTAAAAGTAAATATACTCCTCTGTATATAATTATACTTAATTATCACTAATTTAATTTGAACTTTACATTGAAATATGAAAAAGCAAATATTTGTCTACAATATGTCAAACATGTATTAAAACATCTGTCAGATTAACGAGTTTGTTAAAAAAATTTTTATTGAGCTATCTAACACATAATATTTAAATATATTCCATATAATTACCAGTAGCCCAGTCAGATACTTCATTAGTGAGAATACTTCCTATCATCGGCTGGTCTTTATTGTATTCGATGCCCGCTTTCAACCAATGCTTCTCGTCTACATACAGCATTAAACCGGCCTGATCGTTGAGAGATTCAAATTTTGCTTCTACACAAACCTGAAAAAAAAATGTAATATTTTTGCTTATCTTTATATTACGTTCTTTTTTCTTGTTCTTCATTGTTATGAAGTAAAAATATGTAAATTGTAAACTATAACAAAATTCTATGTCTTACAGTATTTAAACATTGCTAAAAACTCAATAAAAGTACAAGCGCCTTCTGTGAATGTACATTACAAACACATTAAATCATCAGTAAAACAAAACTTAGATTTTCGACCATTATGTTGTTTTGCTTTACTTAGATATTTTTTAAACTATACATAATATAGAAAAAATTATAGAAATATAGAAAACCAATTGATACATAATATAATACCATATATTGATATCTATGTAAAATTATTAATTCAATTGACATTTGTTTAGCTCAACTGGCATACTTTGAAGCCATTATCAAGAGAATTGAATTGAAATGTATTCAAAACAATTACTTTTTTCTTTATTCATTATGGGACCCCATGATTACAGTATAATGTATCCATACTGCTGCTACTTTTATTACATAAAAGAATATCAAAGAGTGAGTTTATTGTCACACTCTTTCTTTGCATACAACCATATTGAAAATTCTATCACTAAGATGAAAAATCACTGCAGCAAATATTATAGTGCTCAAGTTTACATGCAGCACTCATACTCCCGTGGGACGACTACTCTCCACGATTGGTTAGAGTAGAGGCGCAGGAATGATAGCTTTACATGCTCTCCGTGGCACTGGGGTGAAACACCGCCAACTTCCCAACTCCGAGATGTTAGCTAGTGAATCGAACCCAGGACCACCAGATTTGCAATAACAAGAATATATACAAAAAACTCACCTCTAATGTAAAATCATCTTGTAATTCAACACCATACACATGCCCTGTGTTGACAAAAGAATTATACCATGTTCCTTGCCAAAAATCTGTTTCATTCTCTGTTTTGAGTGTGAGAATATTATTTTCAAAGCACCATTCACTCGGCTCATTTAACCACTTAAAACTCGATAAGAGTCCGACCCCAAGAGCAAGTTTTCTGAAATTATTTATAATTAGAAGAGTAATGGTTGCCTACCTCTCTATATAGGATATATTAGGGTAGGGAATAAAATAATACATTTAAATTTAAATATGTATGTATTCAGCTCTCCACTTTCTGTCAAAAAAGAGCCCTAAGTTTTTTTGGACATATTATGCGATCATCCAAGCATAGTCTGGAGAAACTTATTATCTTAGGCCAAATTGATGGTAAACGCGCACGGGGAAGGGCACTTATAAGGTGGTTCGACGCGATAAAGAAGGCAGTGGGCGCTACTCTCCATGCCACAGTCCAGGCATTGTTGAACCAAACTGACTAGAAAAAATCATAAGTGATCACGATCCTCATCAGTGAGGGAAAGAGGAGGAAGAAAAAAGTATTCAGCCCTTTTTAACGTTCCACCGCTGGGCACGGGCCTACCTTCAATATATTTGAGGTTAATCAAGCCATAGTCCACCACACTGGCCAAGTGCGGATTGGAGAACACAACGCGCGCGAAATTAAATATACTTAAATATAATATACAACAAGCCTATCTTTTTGAATCATAGTACTGAAATAATAAAATTTGTAATGATTACAGAGGTACAGAGAGTATATAGGAGGTATTATATGTACTAAAAATGTGTACTAACCTTGCAACATTTGATAAATCATTTAACCGTGCATGTCCAGAAGGAGTCTGACTTGAATTTTGCACAATCATCACTTCATGCTTTTTCTCAGGCTGCTTTTTACTTAAAGGACTATTTTGTTTTAATCTAGGAACAGTCTTTGCCTTATTTGATAAATCATTCTCATGTGAATGGTCAGGATGCTGATTTAGCCGTGAATCTTCTACAAAATGCACTTCATTGTCTTGTTTTTTCTCAAGATATTTTGTATTTCGAATAGCATTTTCTTTTAATCTAGGTATAGTATTAACAATATCTGTTAAATCATTCTCCAGTGTTTGCTCAGAATGCTGACTAGGACATGAATCTTCGACAATAGACACTTTAATATCATGCTTTGTCTCAGGCAATTTTTTACTTGGAATAGCAGTTCGTTTTAATCTAGGTATCTTAACAGCTCCTAAAATATTAAACATCAGTGCATATTAATGTGAAAGCGTTGGCAACTTATATTCTAAATACTTATATAGCTAAACAGTACCATTATAGGCTTTAAAAAAATCGAATTCGGTAAAATGCTCTGCGCACACACGCATATATGATAATGCTGGTTTTGCCAGTCCAACAACCATTTCCCACTGTTTTCTTTGCTTCTCATTAGTAGGAAAACGGTGAAAACTTAAATTTTTTTTGCTGTTATTAGAACACTGAGGAACACAACAGTAACTTGAAATATTTTGTTTTCGCATTTCATTAATTCGATTTGGTGTGTAACAGTTGTTCAATTCAATTCTTTCGTTTCGTGGCTGCTAGGAGTGCCTTTGGGCAAAATTTACTTACATATATTAATATTTATGATAACAACAATCAAAAGTAAACATAGATTTATATTTTATATATGATAAATGACACTGACAGTAAACTTCATAAATTATCCTCATTTCAATAACCACCCACAGACTAAATACAACATTTAGTAATTATTTACGAAATATAAGGCCAGCTATAAATTATAAGATATTTTCTGTCAGAAAATTTCTGACTCCCGCCGGTACCACCCCGCACACACATCAGAAACTTCGCTCCAGCGAGTGTGACAAAGAGTTTAGTTTGCGTCTGCTCGACAACTAGGGTTTAGGACGTCTCGCGTCTTTAAGTCCCGGGACATTTTGTAAATTTAGTTGTCTCGGGTCCCAAGATTTTCCGGTCAAGGTTTGAAACACTTTTTTGCAACTTAAAACTGCACTTATTGCTTTGGCGGAAGAACTGTATTGCAGACCGTTTTTTAAAAATTCCCTTGTATCCAAACTGCAGCATTGGAAATAATGAACGCATGAAAACTGTTCACAACGAACTTGATGAGTCGTTTTAAAGTTAAATGAAATAGACATTTTAAATAATTGCAATATTTATTAAAAAAAAAAAAGATTGTATAGTTAAAATCAACAAATATTGTAAGGTACTTTGGTGCCATTTTTTAATTTTTGAATTCATTTTGTAAAATTGTGGTTAGGGAATCCGAACAGATAGTTTTATTTAAAATGTCAAATATTCGCGTAGATCTAAGAAATTATTGTTGAGTTTCGCGGATTTATTTTGATTTTTGGTTCCAGACGTTTTGAATGCTTTACAGCAATCATGGTCACGGGAGAGACATGCCCTGTTTTCCAATCGGGAAAAAACACTTCGTATATTTTCTGCTACCGAGTTGGTTGGTCACGCCACGTCTAGATTGTCTGGAGCGTTGCTGTAGTTGAAATATTCGAAGTTGAGCACTATGCCGCATAATGCCCTTTAGTGCTGTAATTGGGAAACAGGCTCAGGTTTTAGATCTCTATATACTTGTTACAGACAGTGCCTACCCCCAATTTTACAAAATAATTTCCAAAATTCAAAAATGGCACCAAAATACCTAACATATTTGTTGATTTTAATTCTAAACATTAAATAAAATCATGGCCAGACTCCCTGGAGCGAAGTTTCTGATGGGTGTACGGGGTGGTACCAGCTGGCGTCAGAAATTTTCTGACAGAAAAAAAATCTTGTACTATGTGGCTGGCCTAATACACACAGGGAAAATACTTTTAAAAGTTCACTACACATGATGACTAATCCGTATTTTTCGCATTATACTATAATGAATAATGATTGCAATCGGGTGCGCGTCTCTGGGTGCAAGACTTATAGTCTGTTACATTTTGGTTTTACAATGGGGAAGAATTTTGACATTTAAAATTTAATTAAAATAACAAATTTTGTAGTGCCAGAATGCTAAGAAAATGGATATCATATGTTCCCAAATGACAAAAACTAAAGAAATTGTGTCCACAATTGATAGTGAAAGTGATATTTTAAATTATGAAAATTAGTAAACTGAATAAATCAGTTTGCATTTCGATGAATTTAATTAAATTTTAATAATTTATGGATGTGTAATAATTATTTGAATATTTAATTGTAATTTATACCAGTAGTAACAAGCAGAGGTGATGATCCAAAAATCATTGGTGAATTCGGACTGGATGGAGTGTATAAAACTTGATTCGTAGATGATTGATTTCCTTGAGCAAGCATTTTTTTTCGCAATCTATACATCTGACAATTTTTTGCGTTGTTTTGTTTTTTTACTGATATTTCTGGTTTTATTTTCTTTTTTTTTTTATCTTTCTTCCGTTTTCGATATTCTCTACAAATTTCAGCATTAGATTTAGGCATCTTGAAAACTGAAAAATAAATAGCACATAAATAATATAGTGATCAGTAAAAAAGCATCAAAAGAATATATTTTTTTTATATGTGTATCAGAAATTAAGTGAGATACCTGGTAAAAGTAGAACAAAGCCTTCTTTAATTGAAATATATTTTTAGCCTAATAATTTTATATTATATTAAGATTTATAGAAGAAAAACTGAAACATTTATAATAGAAAAAAAAGTGAAATAAGCTTGTAAAAAATAATAAATAATTAGTATACTAACTTTTTCCATCCAAACATGATTGTCATAAACCCGCTTTTTATTCTTTTTTCTTTATCACTATAACCTAATGGGGCAGATTTCTCGAAAGGAGGGCGCCACACGTATGGCCTATTTAAAATCTTCTTTCGAGAAATCATCCTCATTTAACATTTAATAGTTATAAATAATAATGTTGGCAATGTCCAATGATTAACTATAATTCAATGGTAACGAAATAATAGAAATTATACATGATGTAGATGAACTATCAAGACCAACTGATTCAAAAACAATTAATTGAAAAAGTAGATTTTGTATGTTCAAAAATATTCAGGTACTTACAATAATTATTTTCAATATTATTTCCAACTAAGACATCAACTTGCACATTTAATACATCCACTCAGGAATCAGCTGAAAATAACACGTAACGTTATACACATAATGTATGGAGATTACGCATGTGATCTATGAGTAATAAGGGTTGAGGACAAAGTTTGTTATTTAGAAAATATTTAAATACTTACGATGATCGTTTTCACTATTTTGTACAGTGACGTTTTATTTTGTGCAATATAAATATTATGTTACTTATTAAATGTCTTTCGGCGTCTATGAAATTCACGTACACGTTCTGTTCTTTTTTTTCTGCCGATACTCATGACACTTTTCAGCATTTGTTTTTGGCATTTTTAAAAAATTAATTTAAAAGATAAAAATATTCACACTGTCAAAATATTATACTAAAATGCCTATTCATTTATATATAATTATATTTGTATTGAAGTATAACTTCTTCATAGTCTAATACTCGGCTGCAAGATTGCTACATTCATGAAACCTTTAATTAAAATACATTTTTAACATACAATTATAAAAGAGACAATATGTTCTGGCCAGGTTGCCTATTAAAATGTGCCCGCTAGTATTTTTAATTAAGGTAATAATAATTGACATTTTTGAACAGTCATTTACTTGTTATTAAAATAAATTATACTCCATTTCACAAAAATATATATAGAGTCTTGAAAAGTTATAGTTGCCATTGCATACTTGCCCGCAATCCCTTTGCATCCAAGTGTAAGCAGGTATAGTTTGTTACATCAAATTAGAGCTAATTTTTTTTCTGTACCTGATAAACTACTTCTGCCTATGTAAAAGTGGCCGCAAATAGGAATTGGCAGCTATTAAGGATTTTTTGTTACATTTATGTTTTTTCTTATTACTAGCACGGATAATAGTGACTGGATTTTAGATGGTCTTCTGAAACCAACCTGGTTCTTCAACTTAAATAAAATCGAATGTTTCCTGAAACCTGAAACCGAAACCTAGCTTGACGAAATAATTTTTGGCTTGTTTTTTATATAAGGGACCCGCAGTAGACTCTTGATTTTTTTTTGTGCAAAGTACTTATTATCTTGAGCAACTCACGAAGTTTCAAGTTTAGAAAATAAATACTTTCAGAAATAAAAAATATCAAACTTTGATAAAAACAACCTCAACTTTTGCATTATTTTACTGCTTTTGAATTTGACGTAATTTTGACAGAACTCTACATGCTCTTTGGACAGAGGTGTTCTGTGCTGCTACTTTAAAGAGTTTTAACTTTAAAGCGTTTTGAAATAAGTTGACGCGCACTTTCATTCATTCATTTAGGTTTAACAATTTCACGGTGATTTCAGCTTTTTTGTAGATTTTAAGTTTATCCATTGCAAACAAACTCACAAACTTAAAAAATATACCTCTTTATAATAATAGTCTATTCATTATAAGTATTATCATACTTTAATACTTAATAGGATATGAACGAGTATTATACGTTTATTTAGTTTTTTAATCCCTCCACGACCGCCGGCGTGTCAGTTAACAATAGATTCCTTAGAAATTTAATTAATTTCTTAGAAATTTACCTGGATGTGTTAAGATTATTATTTCATAACGAATAGTTTCCAACCTAGAGAATGTTAAATATAAATTACAAAAAAAAACCATTCCATTACAAAAGAGAACATTTATTCTTAAATGATTTTGAAGCCGGTGCGGCATAAAATTTTTAATCAAATTAATGATTACCGACCATTTAAGATATCGCCACCTGCGCTTACTGAAAAAATCATCGGATTTTTTTCAGTTTGATATTGATAATTATTATGTTTTGATAACATGTTTGGAATTTATTATATTATTATTAGTACGTGTGGTGCCCTCCGTTCGAGAAATTTTTCCCATTATACATTGATTATTTAATATGCTAATTTGCTAAATTTAGTCAAAACCAGTACCAGACATAAATTTGATCTACTCCATATGTATTCTGGAAATACTAACAATATAAATAAAGACTTAAAATGGGTGGTTAAATATAGTGAAAATAGTTTTATATACTACAATACCATATCTAAAGTGTAAACGAACAAGGCTTGTGTTTGTTTCAATGTGGTTTATATTAGTCTGGCAACTTTTAAATACTGGTTTCTTATAATTCTTCACCATGCTGGCTACCCAGAATAAAGTTTTAGCAAAATGGCATCATTTCCGGCAGCGGCAAGACGACGCGGGCGGTATGAGCTCCGCCCGCATTTAAAGAAACAGTTAATTGTTATATTTAGATAGATTAAAAGTGTTTTTGTACTATAAAGTACGCTTTGGAAGAACTAAACGTTAAATATGGGTAAACCAGGTGAGTCCACTATATTCGTTGTTTTGTACGGACCACGCGTGGTCGCCGCGTGGTTTTTAATGTGCGATTCCTCACTGAAACTCGCAATAAAATGTCTTAATCTTAATAATAATCTTAAATACGTATGTTTATTATGATTTCTGTATAATATACTTCAAATTTCTTAAAAATAATGTTTATTGAATAATTGAGGTTATGTTCATTTTTGTTGCTTTGTAATATTTTTGCTTGCTCAAAAGAGAAACGCAAAGTTTTACTTTCTTTTAAGCCTTTACAGTGATATATCTCCATTTTGATGGTGATTTCATGAAATATTTTTTCTGTAGCAGGAGTTACTACTAACATAGGATGTAATTTTTCATGAAGGTACAATTATAACTATATCACAAAAATCGTACTTACCTATAAAAAAAATTGAAGAAATTTATGATCAGCTTTTGTTTTTGTATTTACATGTACCCGAAGAGGTTATGACTTAATACCGCACTACTTTTTTTATACTGTCACAATACAATTTGTACTACAAATATTATAATATTGTTACATTTTAAAGTATTTTTGATACACCTTGTGTTATACAATCAAAATTAGAATGAACTACCTATATTATGGTATCAGATTATAATCTAGTAGTGGTATACCACTTTATACATATAGCTTCGCCCACGTGTTAATCCAAAATTTCGTCTAAATCTATTCAACAATTCACATGTGATTGAGTCAAACATTTATTTACATACCTCATTATCATTTGCAATATTTAAAAACTTTTTTTATTACAGATTTCAACAGTCCTCGTGGAGAAAGCCGGGGAGGTTTTAGAGGTGGTCGAGGAGGTGGTGGAGGTCGAGGAGGCTTCGGAGGAGGTCGAGGAGGATTCGGAGGGGGTCGAGGAGGATTTGGAGGAGGTGGAGGTGGCAAGTTTGAGAAGCGAGGGGGTGGAGGTGGCAGAGGTTTTGGAGGACGAGGAGGTGGAGGAGGTTTGTTGTTATTTAAGTAAATAATAATTTGTTATAATCTATATAAAAAATACTCATAAATATTGCTTGACTTTTATAATGTTTGTATCTTCTCAATCTAACTCGGTGTAACATTATTTCATTTTTGTTGATTTAAATGGCAATAATTTGTAGCAAAATTTATAAGTATTAGAATTGGAATAGTTATGTTAATAAATATTTAAATGATGAATAATGGTCCCTCTAATCTAGACCTATTCGTGAAGACTATGATACCACATACCCACTACTGATATTTTGATTTATCCAACAATAATATATATTTTTTCTTGTTTTTTTTTTTATTAATATTGTTTTTTTAAACTAGGCCGTGGAAGAGGAGGCCCACCAAAAAGAGGGGGATTCAAAGGTGGCAAACAAGTTATTATTGAGCCACATAGGTATGTCAAATGTCAGTTTGAAAAGTTAAGAATACAAGTTACATAATTACAAGTCATAATTTAAATGATGTTATAAAACATAACTTTCGTTCTTCTGAATGTGAATGCTTGAAGCCAAAATGTTTCTGATATATAAAATACAGTTTATTAATTAAAAAAATGTAACCTAAAAATAACCAAAAGTTTCATCATTTTAGGCATGCTGGAGTATTTATTGCAAGAGGCAAAGAAGATGCGTTAGTAACGAAAAATTTAGTACCTGGTTCAGAAGTATATGGAGAAAAGAGAATATCTGTTGAGGTTGGTAGAAAATATTGGGTTTTGCTAAAAATGGCAATTATTTATATTATACATTGCAATAAATGTTAACTGATTTATTAATATCATCTAAAAAATGTCTGCCAATTTACTATACTATGTTATTATATGTTTAACTTGTGACAGCCTTGCTTCAATTGGGTGCGTTCCTAGGTATGTTTTAATTTTTTGAGCAGCACCCTAATTCCTTTTCCAAAACAAAAGTAGCCTAAGTCACTCTTTATAAAATCAGCTCTTTATAAATCCATCAAAAATGATCCAGCTGTTTTGGAGATTAGCCTGGACAGACAGACAAAATTTTTAAAATATTTCTTATAAATACTGTAAATACTTTCATATGCATTTATAAAAAAGCTGTTATTTTGGATAATTTTTCTATGATTTTTTAATCAGTGTACATTATTGCAAGTTATAATAAATATGTTAAAATTAAATGATGATTTTGGTCCCTCTAATCTTGACCTATTTGTGAAGACTATACAACCACACACCCACTTCTGATAATGTTATATAAATTATGTTTAAATGTATCTAAAATCCTTACAAGATTCACTAGAACTTAAAAGTTTTCAGAATGAAGGAGACAAAATTGAGTACAGAGTGTGGAATCCGTTCAGATCAAAATTGGCCGCAGCTATAATGGGAGGTGTAGATGCAATACACATGCCGCCTGGATCGAGAGTTTTGTATCTCGGAGCAGCCAGTGGGACAACAGTCAGTCATGTTTCAGATATTGTTGGACCAGTAAGTGAATTTGTTATTTTTTGTTCTCATTAAATTAATAATGCTATGTGTATATTAAGGCAGTAATAGCCCAGTGGTAATGCACTCTCTTGGGAAAGTGAGTGAAGCGGGTTCAAATCCCCATTCTCCCACCTATGATATTTTCATGTGCGAATCATTTCAAACATGGTTACCACTTGCCTGACAGTGAAGGAAAACATGGTTAGGAAATCTGCATGTCTGAGAGAGCTTAGAAAGTTTTCGAAAGACTTGTAATGTCCACCAACCTGCATTAGATCAGCATGGTGGACTATGTCCTGATGCCCCTTGTATTGAAGGGAGGCCCGTACCCAGCAGTGGGATGTTAAAAATGGCTGACTATATATAATTATATATGAATTTAATATTACTATGATGAATATGCACAACGGACCTATCTGTGAAGACTATATTATATCACTACCCACTATACTGATTGAACAAATGGATAAACTGAATATATAATGTATAAATCAGTATTTTATACAAGTATTTTTTGTTACAGGAAGGCCTAGTTTATGCAGTGGAATTTTCCCACAGATCGGGGAGAGATTTAATAAATGTAGCAAAGAAAAGAACTAATATTATACCTATTATTGAAGATGCGAGACATCCATTGAAATACAGGTAAATTAATCTATATAGATAAATAAAATTAAAGTCTCTTTGTAATGTCAAAATAAGAGTTTTTTATACTAAATGCATATGGGGTTTATAAACGGTTCTTATAAGTAAAAACACAATTTTTTAACTTTTTCATCTGTCTGTTTGTTCTGGCTAATCTCCGAAATGGCTGCACCAATTTGCCGAGATTTATACTCGCAGATAACTCATGTTATAAGGAGTAACTTAAACTACTTTTATTTTAGCAAAAAAAAAAAAAGAATTAAGGGACATATCTGAGTGAAGCGTATTTCATAAACAATGAATCTTTGCAGATGTAAAATCTATATTGTTTTTACATAAAAGTAACATATAAGACTATAATTTAGAAGGGTAAATAAAGAAATTAAGGATCTCTGTTAGTGTGGCAGTAAATGCTAGTGAAATATAAAAAAAATTGGTGTGTGTAACCTTAACGAGCAGTTGAAGTAAAACTTCTATGGCAAATATTGCAATTAAATTAAAATAAAGCAATAATTAAATTAGGCATATTACAATCATTTATTTATAGAATATCATATAAGGAAAGAATTTAATATTATATATTTATCAGCCAACAGTTACCATGGCAATGTATTCTATCTCATTGTTTCGCCGGCTTAATCCTATATATTTATGGGTTTGTCTCTTTCTAAAAAAATCCTTTTTTGTGATGAAAATCCTATGAACTAAATTTTTCATGTTGAATAAATTTGAACTCTCTCTCTGATCCGAATATAAAGTTAATGTAAATTACCTTTAAAAATGTACAGACTGTAAAATTGAGATATTCTTCACAGAATGCTGGTTGGTATGGTGGACACGATATTTGCTGACGTCGCTCAACCAGATCAAGCGAGAATCGTCAGTTTAAACGCACAGCATTTCCTCAAGAATGGTGGACATTTTGTTATATCTATTAAGGTAATTTAATATTACTTATATATTGCATTTTGATTTAAGAAGAATTGCTCTAAATATTATTTCTGTATTAAGATTTATATTTTTTAATGTAAGTTCTTTTTTGTTTAAAGTATCCTTATCGGCATGATATTTTAATATTTTTTTATACTTCATTTTAGTTTTTTGTAGCTGAATATTTTTTTACAATTTTATAATGGTGTATTATATAAAAAAAAAAGAAATCACGCATATTCCCTATTACGAAATTAGAATAAACTTTTTTAAAGACTACATAAAATTACGATAATAGTATTACCATTTAAAAAATGATTTGAGTTTTTTTCTTTTATGAATACGAAAATGGTAATTTACATGTACAATTTTACATTTTTCCTTAAAAACTCCTATGATGAAACAAAATAACCTAAATATTTCATGTTGAAAGTTGAACTCTCTCACTGAGGTTTTCAAACAATATACAAAAAGTAATCGCTAACTTCCCTTTACTTAATATTATGGTTATTTTCAGGCCTCATGTATAGATTCAACAGCTCAGCCCGAAGCAGTATTTGCAGCTGAAGTTAAAAAGTTACAAGCGGACAAACTAAAGCCTCAAGAACAGTTAACTTTGGAGCCCTACGAGAGAGACCATGCGGTGGTAGTAGGAGTGTTTAGGCCTCCGCCCAAAAATGCCTGATATCGAGTAATAGTTAATGAAAACAGAAGTGCATTATTATTGCTATTATAGTTTTAATTCCATCATAAATTGTTAAATATATGTATAGGTAATTTTGTAAAATAGGCCTGCATTATTTTTAAACCAATCTGGTTTAATTCACGTTTAGAATTTTATTTCTAATCTGCTATGCTTAATTTGATAATAATAGATTTTTTAGAAATGGGACATTTTGTAACTGAACTTTTTATGAAATTAAATTGTCATAAAATAAAACTGGGTTCTTAAAATGTTAGTTGTTCATAATAAAACTGTTAAATGTTTGCTTGTTAAAGTGAATTTTACAAAATAGCAATGTTTGCCTCCATATACTTCTTAGTTGTAAGTTAGGTTAAGTGTGGACATACGAGGCGATGTATGTTAAATATAAGAGAATAAATAAAGATTGTGCGAATGACATTAACTTGGGTTTGCATTATACCTTACCTCTAAACTTACTGTTTATTTCCATCATAAAAAATGCTTTAATTATGTTCTACTTGGACTCGTAAGAATATTTTAAAATATGGGGTATTAAATTATTTCTACTTAAATTCTTGATACTAAATGATGAATGAAATTAATGGACTCATGTTTATAAAATTTGTTTTTTATCCGTAAAAACTCACACCAAATAAAATTGACGAGTCTAATGTCAAAGTAACAGCTTTTTTAACTAAATTCTTATGAAAAATGAAAATGAATACGGTATTTATAAAAAAAGAACAATTTTTAAAATGTTTGTTTCGGCTAATCTTCGAAACGGCTGGATCGTTTTTAAGTTGGACTAGCAGCTAAAAAAGGTAGCTTATTGTTAGTTCGGCAGCGACCAGCAATTCCAAGTATGAAGCGAAGAGACGTACTGATAAGCAGCAAGTTGCTCCTGGTACTTCTCTGATAGCAGAGTGGACCGTGGAGCAATCCCATGGCTGTTGTGGTCTGCTTCGGCAGACCTACCGTCGCGTCGGGGCGTTCTGGTTGAGTACGGAAGCGATCTTGCGACGCCCCATTAAGACGGGGAAGTTTCCGTTGGGTTTTAGTGGGTAGTACTGGCTTTTCTAGTCCGAGAGTCCAGTATACTGTATAACCACGTGTATATATGCAGGTGGTATGCGTAAATGCATTTCCCAACGCTAAAAAGAGTAAACTATCTCTACTCAAAATTTTATTGGAATTCGTTGTTATAGCGTTATGAAGTAACAAACACGCTCACTCACAAAAATACTTTTTGACTTGTATTTAGCAACTCGGCGAGAAACACTTGTTAATATTGAATTTGAAATCTAAATAAGTGAAGTTTTAACTTCATTTATATAGCCATTTCATTCTTTTAAAGGTTAATATTTTTCATAAAACTTAGGGCGCGCACATAATTGAAATTCATTAAAAAAATGACTTCAAAAAGAAAAATAGTTTATAAGATTTTGTAAATTTCTTTAAAAAAATCTTAATTTTAAAAAGCTTCCAATGAGAGTAACTTAATTAAAAAAAAAACATCTAAGGTTCACTCTAACTTTATACTATAAATAAAGAATGCAGATTAAAAATATTAAACAGCTTATTTATTACTTAGTAGACATTTTATCTTAAAATTAAGGTGAGTTTAAATAAAACAACAATGAATCTATACAGCTATATATAATGTCAGTCGCTGGCTTCACTCTGGCTGTCGTCTTCCCAGGATTGTTCGCTGCCGGACTGGTACCTCTCCACTTCCATCTCCTCGTCTGATGATGAATCTGAAAGAAAAGTAAACATTAGTATTTTAGTGCCAAAAATTACAAAATAATGATTACTTTTTATACTTATTCTAGCGACCCACCCTCGCTTCGCTCGGACTCGTCTCTAGGTACGTTTTAACTATTAGTATGAAATACAAATCTTTGAATTTCTCGGCTTCTCTGTACTATAATATGCACGTATTATATATATGAACCTTCCTCTTGAATCACTCTACCTATTGCTCAAAACTGCATTAAAATCCGTTGCGTAGTTTAAAAGATCTATGCGAGTAGACGGCAGAAGCGACTTCATTTTATACTGTGTAAAGATGTTATTAAAATAAGATTCACAGAATCCCATTTTGTAGTATTTAATTGAATCATTTATAACTAGTGGTTCCCGACGTTTCTAAAACGAGTATATAACGCCTTTGAGATGTCTAACACCTCAGTCTCTCCCGTGAAAATGATTGCTGTAAAGCATTCGAAACCTCGGGAACAAAAAAAATCTAAATAAAGCCCTGAAATAATCCTAAATGATAGTTTTATTTAAAATGTCAAATATTCGTGTAAATCTAAGGTATTACAAAGACTACTGTTAGGCATTTGTCACACTCGAGCAGAGCAAGGATACGCCGCTAGTATGTCCTATCCCTTACCATTATATTCTAGCACAGGACTTTGTTCGACGTCGTCGTCCGCGCCGCCTCGCTGCGTCACCGTGAGGTCTATCCGTCCCTTCAGGTTCAGCAGTTGACATAGGTGGGAACGTCTGCAAACACATCACAAATATACATATTTTTAACTTGCACATCATAAATTTACATGAAATAAACAGATGGAAGTAGAAATAGTATAGGTTATAACTGAGTGGTATCTTCCAGGCAATATTTAGGCAGAGAGAAAGGAAGAAGAAAAGTTTGTTAAATGTATAAAGAAATAAGTTAATTCTTTTAAAAAAAATCTGTAATTTTATTGAATCTATATGGTTTGTATAGATTTGTCAAAGATTTTTTTGAAGATATTTTCTCGCAGTAAAAAGTATCCTATATGGAATGACCCGGATAACCAGCTATCACCATACCAAATTTCATTAAACTCAGCTAGAAAATTCTAGCCAGACAATTCTAGCTAAAAAAATCTATAATAAAATATTATATGAATAGATGTATCTCGTGACAATTAACGCACTTTCTTCAGATAATCGATACTTTGAACTCTTCATCACCCTGTTAAAAGTTCCAGATGAAATAGATACAAACAAAGAAAAAAAACATCATACAGATAACCAAATGAATCTTAACTCGGGGTAGTTTTAAAATTACTGACTTCACATGTCTTTTGAAAACTTGCTAGGTTCTCTGAGACATGCAGGTTTCCTAACGATGTTTTTCTTCACAGTAAGACAAGTGGTAAATGTTTGAAATGATATAAATTAAAAATAAAATAAACTCACCCTCGCTCCGCCCGGGTTCGTCCCTAGGGTTGACCTGACCACCCTTATCACTTAAGGGTATGAAAAATAGTTTACGTTCTATTCTCAGACCTACACAAAATTTCATAAGAATCGGTCAAACCGTTTGGAGGAGTTTTGTTTTTTGTTTTCATGTGAAAGTTTATGTGGTATTTATAAGAAAAAATAAACAATTTTTAAAATTTTTGTCTGTCCGTCTTTTTTTCCGGCTAATCTCCGAAACAATTGGGCCAACTTTGACGGGACGTTCACTGGCAGATAGCTGATGTTATAAGGAGTAACTTGGGCAATTTTTATTTAAAAACAAGAAACAGGGTTCCGCGAAAACAAATTGAAGCCCATAAAATTGTGAACAAAATCCGCGTACAGTGTACGCACCCGAGCAAAGCGAGGGTAAATCGCTATATAATTTAAATGAATATCTTAGGAGTAGCAAACTACTATTTATGTATAAACATAGCTAACCGTGAAAACGTACCTAGGGGCGAACGCGAGCGTGAGTCGCTAGTATTATATATATTAAATATGTACCTGTGTGTGAATATAGCAAGCAACTGAGTCAAATGATCAGCTGTCTTGGAGTTGAGTGTTGCCAGCAGCAGCGCCGAGTGACATCGCAGCACCGCGCTCAGCCACGTGCAGACCGACGCACATCTGTAATGTTGAAATAAACATTAAAATTGTAAATATGTTATTTAAACGTAGTCTGTGTGTTTTTATTGATTTAATATGTTTTTTATGCATAATTTAAAAAAAAATATTAGCATTCTGCATTCCTTCTCTATATAAACTATAAATGTGGGGAATTTCATACTTCTCCGTCCGCGCAATTTTCTTAAAAAGGGGTACAAAGTTTTTGCTTCGTGTATTAATATAGCGATATATATCCAGTACTAACTGGCTAGTCTTCCTGGCGGCCATGTCGGCGAGGTGCCGCAGCAGCGGCGGCAGCGCGGCGGGCGGCAGCGCGGCCGCCGTGCGCAGCGCCACGCGAGGGTCCGAGCTCTGCAGCACCGTGAGGATTAGCCTGGAACCATTCACATATTTCTTATTTGTATCAATGTATCAACGACGGATGCATCCGATACCTATGCCGATATATCGTCATCGGCGATATTTTATTGGCCGATTCAACAATACTTTTCAAATCGCGCATCTGAGAGACTATTTTCCACCGCAGGTCTTATTCAAACATATTTGCGAAATCGCCTTTCTCCGAATAAAATATTTTGAATTTAAATATGTAGGTAAAACAAGCACTGTGAAGATCAGTCCCGAGAAATAGGTTAAAATAAAGGTTAGTCATTTGCAAGATTATTTGCTAGCTATGAAGTTAAAAAAAAACTAAATATGTATTTAATTCAGCATTAAATTAAGTAGTTATTTTTTTACTCAATGTCATGAGTCTACCAGCAGTTTGAAGAGGACATTACTGTCTTTAAAAGAACTGGCAAAAGAAACGGGACTAAATTTTTTTTTAATAAGTAAAATTGTACTCGAGACTATTGTATCATTTAAAAGGTGAGCCATTCTATAATCAATACAGATAAAGAAAATTGAAGTGTCTGTTTGTAATGTCAAAATAACAGCTTTTTACTAAATGCATATGAAATTTTATACAGTACTTATATGAAAAACACAATTTTTAAAATTTTTGTCTGTCTGTCTCTTTGTACTGGCTAATCTTCGAAACGGCTGGACTGATTTTGGTGACTTTCACTGGCTGATAATAGACAATGTTATAAGGAGTAACTAAGGATACTTGTAATTAGAAATTAAAACGCATGTAGGGATGCACCCGAGCGAAGCGAGGGTAAGTAGCTAGTATACTTATAATACTTCATGGTATCTCTATTATTTTCGTTTATCGGTGGAACCATTATAGAGTAAAAAAAGCACAGACTTAAAACGATTTTAAAGTAATATTTTTAGTTAGGAAATAAAAATTATAATATATCTTTTAACTATTTTCTCCCTCAATATGAATAACATACCCTTTATCGTTAGAGTGTAGTCCCTGAACTAATAGCTTGGTAAGATTTTGATTGATTGGTGTTTTACTCCGGCTCTTGATATCCACTGTGAGATTGGCGAGACGGGCCTCCATTGAAACTTCTACCTGTTAAATGAACAATACTCGTTTTTATATTTTACTAGCTGACTTCATAGATGTTGTCCTGTCTGATCATAGTCTTCATAAAAATTCTAGAACCCGACTGCAGTGCCACCTATGGGGTCCAGTTGTGAATTTTCTATCTATCTATCTATATATAATATAACTCCAAATATATATAATATAAATCCAGGGACTTAAAGCAAACATAAAAAAATCATGTACAAAGCAAATTATCATATTGATAGCTACATATCACATGTAAAGAAAAACAAAGTATAGTATATATGAAAAAAATAATATAATAATGTATATTGCAGTCAATATGAATTAAGAAATGGCTGTGAAATTAAAACTTTTGTTAGTAAATATAACTAACACTTCAAAAGTGTTTAGAAATGCCTATTTAAATAACTAGATGTAGAGTTTGGAGTTTAAAATGAAAACAATGAATTATTTTAGCTTTTTTCAAGTTTAATCAGGTAAATATTACCAAATCCGATTTGAAACATTCTTTTTGCACTAGATAGCCAGTTTATTGGAGAAGGCTATCATTACATATAAGCTATATATCATATATTATATTGTCTACTAGTGACTCACCCTCGCTTCGCTCTGGTTTGTCCCTGGCTTGTTTCCCCATATAAACTTTCATCCCCATCTTCACCCCCTTAAGGGATGATTTCCGGGATAAAAAGTATCCTATATCCTTCTCAGGCTCTCAAACTATCTTCTTAACAAATTTTCGCTCGGGTGCGCCGTACGCGAATTTTGATCGAAATTGCATGGGTTTTAATTTTTTTTAGCGGAACCCTGATCCTTTTTTAAAAATAAAAGTTACTCCTTATAACATCAGTTATCTGCCTGTGAAAGTCGCGTTAAAATCGGTCTAGCCATAGTCCAGTCATATAACCGTTAAAACGTACCAAGGGACGAACCCGAGCGAAACGAGGGTGAGGTTTACGCTAGTAAATAATATATATTTTGTTAAAAAACTAACCTTGCCACCTGGCGTCGGTCGCTTTCTACTAATTCCGCCCATAGGTTCTACATATGTGACGTCATTATATGTGTCCACTTTCACTTTGTTCACTTCATTAATTTCTTTTTCTTTGCCTTTGCTCTTCTCCTTTGCATTGCCTCGGATAAGTACTTGTGTTTTTGATTTTGTGTCTGGTGTCTGGAATTAAAAAATGTTAAATTATACAAATTGTATTCAGCCCTTTTTTGACGTTCCACTGTTGGGAGTGGGCCTCCCTTCAATACGAGGGAACCACGCTGGCCGAGTGCGGGCGGACTGAGCATGTCTTTCGATAATGGTAGTTTTATTATTGTGGTTTTAAACTAAGATTAAATTTAAATGTATCTGACTGATTAAAATAGAATGTAACATCAAGTATAACAGACAGACACACAATATGAAGTGATCCTATAAGGGTTCATTTTTCCTTTTGAGGTATGGAAACCCAAATTAATATTATTAAAAGGGCAGATTAAATAGCATATATTAAAAGTTAAAACTAACACTTACAACTTTCTCAAATAACAAGGCCGGGCCATTGCTATATCCCAGTAACAGATCTTCACCTGTGATCCTACAGCACTGTAGCGGCAGCGGCTGTGCGTCTTCTGTTGTCACTTGTATTGTCACCGAGGGCTTTATTGGTTTTGTCGATGTACTGAAAATGCATTTTTTGTATATATAAAATTTCTATATATTCATGATTTTATCTTTTTAAATGGCTTGACCGATTTTGGTGAATTTTTTTGTGTAAGTCTTATGGGGTCACTTGGAAAGTTCTTAGCTACAGTACCAACTGTACATGTGCTGTAATTTAAATTCAAGATTATTTTATATTTTTTCCTGACCAAACTTGGCGTGTAGCCGACTATGTATAAGTATACTAGCGACTCACCCTAGTTTCTGCTTCTTCTTGCTGTTAGTATGGAATAGATAGACTATATATTAGTATATACGTATGTATATAATCTATATAATACAAAACTTATCATACTTATGTAGGTTTTGTATCCCTTATTTGAGAAATGATTTATACCTCATATAAACTTTCATCCCCCTTTTCGCCCTCTTAAAGGATGATTTCCAGGATAAAAAATATTCTATGTGGCTTCCAAGGTCTCAAACTATCTTCATACTAAATTTCATCTAAATAGGTTAGCAAATTTTTAGTTTATCCATAACAAACAAACATACAAAAAAACAATTTCATACTGTTTATATTAGTATCTCTATTATCTTTATTTATGTATCTATATAAATCTATACTAATATTATAATTGTGAAAGTTTGTGAATATGGATGTATGGATGTTACTCTTTCACGCCAGAATCTATGAACGGATCTCGACGAAACTTGACACAGAGATAGATTATAGTATGGAATAACACATAGGCTACTTTTTATCCCGGAAAAATGTACAGTTCCCGTAGGATAGGTTTGTTTTTGTTTTCCCAGAGGAGAATTCGAGTGAAGCAAGGGTGAGCCGCTAGTATTAAATATTATTATTGGCCCATACTAGTAATAAATCTATGTATAATAGGATATATTAAGTATCCATAATCCACTGACATAAATCTAGTTAAGAACTTAAGAAGTAATATGAATTGTGTGATATAAATCCAATGAAAAATAATGTAAGACTAGGGTATCTATTGACCAGCAATGAAATGTTCTTACAATACAGATACAGGGGGTGTTCACGTTTTTAATATTTTAAAAGTATAATGTACTCCATCTTACCCATTCAATAAATGTGTATAATAATGTACAACACCACTCCTAGTTGATGCCACCAAGTTAACTTTAGTACTTTCATCTTCTGTTTTAAAATCAACATCTATGAGTCTTGGTGCATCTTCCAATACAAAATTGTATGTGGGCATTGATATTACGGGAGAGCTTAATGATTTCTTTCTTTGTCGTTTACTTGGGGTGATTTCCTCTCCATTTTGTTGAGGCAAATGATCCCCTGTGATTGTTACATCCCAAAATGACAAAAGACGTTCTGTTCTGTAAGTAAAATGTATTTTTTTAAAAGGTCTCTGATACAATTTTCATTTTTCTAAATAAAACAATCGTTTTAGATTATTTCACAGATTTATTGTGATTTTTGGGAACAAAAATAGTCCGAAAAGAGAGTTTTATTTAAAATATTCACATAAATCTAAGAAAGTTTTATTTTTCTATTGGAAAATAATTAATTATTTTTTTATATTAATTATTATTAATTTTAATAATAATTGTGTTACTTTTTAACTCTCAAATTCTTATAAAAAGAAGTTTATGTTAGTTCATAGAAGAAATTAGCCCTATTCTCTAAAAATCACTGAACCATTACAGAGTAAAGAAGCAACAAGCATTCATATGATTTTATAAACTAAATACTTACTGAGCACCTTCAATTAACCAACATGATTTGTGTATCGTAGCAACTGTCAAAAGGGCTCTGGGTGCTGCATTGTGACCAAGTGACTTTACTACAGTTGCCTCAGAATTATACAGACGCCAGAGTCGAATTTGATATGATGCTGCTATTAAAAATTTTGCAGGAGTATTCTAGAACAAAAGAATTTAGTAATTAACTGGTGAATCATTTAAAAAAATAGTACATTATAATTTCTCTCACATTTCACTGGATAATATTCAAAAGTATATTCTTTTATTTGAGATAGATTTTTGTTTCGAAACACCAAATATGTAAACTTCAATGCACACACACAAACACTGTCTGAATACTAATATAATACTACTGAATACAGGTAGGTTATCATATTTTTAAAATTGAAATAACACTCACCTGACTGTGGGATACAATTCTTATTGCACTGACTTTATTCCCCTGTTTACTTGTACTTGAAACATTTATGTTATATTTATCTCTAACTTTTGAACTTTGTAAATCCCATTCTTGTATAAAATTATCACCTGTACAACTGAACAAACCATACTTTTTATGCCAATCTAGTGTTTGTACTTTGTTTTTATTATTGTCATCTGTCAATACTGTTTCTACTTTAGCTTGGCTTACGGAATATAAAAGAACTTTTCCACTGGACGTTCCTAATGCTATACATTGTATTTCTGTCTCACTTATAGATTTTCTTCGCACGCCTTTTTGAGGACTCTGAAAGATAAGGTTATGTTATGATTATTAAGTTAAATTATAGAAATGAATGAATTAAGTGAACTTTACAGTCATTTGTGGAAATAATACTAACGTTAAGCAGGTAATATTAAATAAGTAAAGATTATTAAAATAATAAACGATCAAAAACCACGTGTGAACTCACTGCATTTAAAGTGACGCGGATCCATTGTAAACAGGACGGTGGTGACGATAAATGAAGGTCTGGCGTGTACTCTTGTTTTAGGACATTAGTTTCTGTATCCCATATTCTCAATCTACCGTCTTGGGTTATTGCTGAATAATATTTTCCATCCTCCGAAAAGGCGGCCTCTGCCATCTTTTAGAAGTTTTTGACATGTGTACGTACAATGACAATTATTGACAATCATGTACATTTGAATTTTGACGTCACAAATATGACAGTTTAAGATTAAGACCATTCCGTTTCACAGTATTATTGTATTTAGAATTTTTTTATGTTTCTAAAAAATTGATATAAAATATGTTTTTAATTAATTAAAGAAAACTTACAAAGTAAATATTTTTATTAATTTTATTACTTAACGATACAGAAAATAAAACTTTAAGCATATCGATAAGTATTAAGATTTGTTAAAAAATATAAAAATATTCTAAGCATGCACTAAAACGTTAAAGAATTAATACCTATAAGACAATCGATGCAACAGATTTTATGATCATTTATATAGGTATTTAAAATTTAAGCAATTTAAAATAAAATAAAGCGTAAAATTTAAAAAATGTCAAAAAGTTAAATTTATTAAAATAAATTATTTACTTTGGCATATATTCATGTTGCCATAATGATAAATTCTATAAATAAAAATCATACGGTTGGTCCATGAAATCATAACCACAGAACATAATATATACTCCTAAGCTCCATCTCCGCTATATGAGTAAATAATTAGTGATGTTCCGATAACATCAAAGTTTCGATACCTACTCATATCAGTAGTACTCAAATCATTTTTCGATATTACTCATACAAATACTCCTAATGTATCGATACTAACTGATATCGATACTTTTAAAGGACAATAATTTTAAAATTAATATTAAATTTAAAATTAAAGTAATTAATTAATAAACTATTATTTATTTAATTAACAAAAATTATCTTTATTTTGTTTTAGTAAAATATGTCTATATTAATGATTTTAGTGGTGCCATGATAACATTGGAACAATAAACCGATGACTACAATAACTTAAATTACTCGTAACGTGAATAATTACTTCTGCGTTCAAATATTATGAATAATAATGTGCTGAACACTGCTGACTTGGACAGTGACAATTAAGGTGAAAAACTGAAAATTTCACCGTGGCATAGTGGTTCTATCGGTTTCCCGGGCTCGGGTGAAGCCGAACGAGTTTGACTCGCGTGGCGCGCTTAACTGATAACCGAGCGAGAGATGGCTTTCGCTCTCTTGTTCTGTCTGACGCATTCGGAAATCGGAAGTAAGGTCAGTCTGATTCGATTCGATAGCAAGTACTTTCGTTTCGATACCGAGTAAGTATCGCAAGATCGATTCGATTCTATTAGTACTTGGTATCGAATCAAAAGTATCGAGTACCTACTCGTATTTACTAGTATCGGAACGTCCCTGAGTAATTGTGTTCTGTGATCTGTCATCTGTGCTCCTAACGGAGATCATAACATTCCTTTTTCGTTTAATCGTCTCTGTTGTCGTTCTTCTGTCGTGTCTATTCGTGACTCGCGAGTCGCGACCGAGCTAAGCGCGAACGAATGTAGATTGTAGACTTAATATTTTTTATAAGTGCTCTCGTTCCACTTTTCGATAATTCTATTAATTTTCTTAGTTCTATGTTTTCTCTGCTGTGCTTCATTTATGTTCTAATAAGGTGAAACAAAGGCTGTGGGTGAAAAGCAATGGTTTTGTGAATATGATGTCACTGTTAAATCCTTGAAAAATATGAGTGTTAGTGTTGAAGACGTTTCTAGTCCTTTATCTGAAGGACAGAATAGTGTTTTAGAAATCAAATCGGATAGCGAAGTGATTAAAAATGACAGTATTGAGGAAGGTCAGGATAAATCCGAACCCTCGACCCCAAAACCCCATCCGATGGCGTTTACGATCGACTTTGGTAATGCCAAACAATTTGATAATCGAAGACTCGAAGAGTTAGCGAAAAAGTCTCAAGCCCGTCATCAAAGGGTCCAATCGATGTCCGCTGGCCAGTCTAAACCCAGTCCAACGTCTCAGAGGCCGCCAATGAGCGCTAAACTGCCTCGAAAGGCGCAAGGATATAATTCGGAAGGCTACTTTTCTTCTGACCAAGAAGACAGTGGTTTATCGGGATCTATTAAACTTAGAAGTAGTCCCCTTGCACAAAACGTTGATCGTCCACATACGACTAGTCCAATTACGAACAGACAAGTAAGATCACCTGTCAGTGACCTCCAGCCGAAACGTACGTCCAAAAGCCCTATAGTCGATAGCATTATGTCGAGAAGTGATAATTTTAATCGTCATGCTCTAAATTTACCCCTGAAGAACTCTAACAGTTCCTATGTTCGTGACGTCCATAGATCACCAAGCTATAGCAATCTAAGTCATAAGCATCCAATGGATATTATAGACCAGAGCCCTGAAGGAGTTATGTTAACTGATATTTCTAGTCCTGAATTAGATATTTTAACACCTGACAATGGCCTGTCCACTCCAGAGCATCCAAAGAGTCCTTTACGCAAGAGTAGGGCCTCATCTGCCACTCCTGATCTATTGTTTAAAAAATGTCCACAAAAGGCTGAACCACTTTACATAGATGATGATATTGATGCAGAATCAAATCATTCATCAACAGGTACTTATACCATAGAGGGTGATAACTATACTGAAGAACAAAAAGCTAGAATGAGTATAGATAGAGCTTATGGTACAGACTTGCATAGTGATTTAGAGGATACTTTAAAAAGACACAGTGTTGAAAAGGATCCTGAGTTAATATTTGACTATCCCAATCCTCAAAGGGTTATAACAAAAGAACCAAGAAGAGATGTCTGTTTGAGGACACCTGTCACTATAGATAAATGTAATGACTTACAGAAAGTATCGAAAGATAAAAATGTTCTTGAAATATCCTGTTGTTATGAATCTCCTAATGAAAGTGATTTAGCATTGCAAACAACAAAGCAAATTAAATCAACTAGGAGCTATTTGGAGAAAATAAAAAACAGAGTGAGAACTATAACCGAGAAAACTTTTGCAAAATCTCCTCCAAAATATGAAGAAGATGCTGATATGGGTACTTTCACTTCAGTGACAACTTCAGGAGTGTTAAGTTCAAAGTTTCCAGTTAAGGTTGAAAAGCCAAGTCGTAGACGATGTAGCCTTACAAAATCAGAGATAGATCAGACAGATTATGTTCATAGACTGTCAAGAGAGTCTTCTGTACCAGTATCTTTGCCAAGTAGTAAAGAAGTATTGGAAGATGGTAAATTTGAAAGTACTGCATTAAAGAATGCACAAAAGGCTTTGAAGGATAGTAGTGTGAACATGTCAGAAGAAGTTGTTGGTAAATTGTCATATATGAGCCTTAGTAGGTGTAAAGGGGACAAATCATGGATCCAAGACTGGGCGGACAGTGTGAAAAAATATAATAATAATGCACTGGCAATGGAATCTGATTTAAACACAACATTTGCAGTTGAAGATCGTCCACCTATCAGTCCAAGATTGATACCAGGAAAGCGTAAGTAAAAAAATTGTTTATTATTTAATTAAAAATTGTTTTAGTACTCCTAGAAGCCATAAAACTAAAACATTGAATTGAATTGAAAAATTGTTATATAAAGAATACAAAGTTATTAAGTGACAGCTAAATAATCTATACATATAATAAATTTCTAACTGTAATTTGTACGTTAAATATTTATTGGAAAATCTTTTGGAAAATCTTATTGAAATTGTTATTATTATTGGTACAGAGGCTGAATATATAGTTTTTAAAATTTTTGTGTGTCTGTCACTGCATCACGAGAAAACCACTGGGCAGATTTTGATGAAATTTTGTATGATGATAGCTGGGTATCTGGGTCAACATATAGGATACTTTTTACTGCAGGAAAATATCTCTGAGAAATCTATACTAACCTTTAAGGTGTATATATTTGAGTCTAATATAATATTCATATTTATATGATTCGGTAAAATTCAATATAAAAATATTATTGTAAATTTTCCTAAATGTACAGGAAAATTATGCAAGTGACTTAGCAATTAGCACAATAATATTGGCTTATTGTTACAAGGTTGTAGGTTTTGTAAAGAATATGTATGATACAGAACTGTGTCATATTAAACTGGAAGGATTTATTGATATGTTGAACAAAAGTGATTATCCTTAATAATGTTAAAAATGCAATAAGTTTTGTTTGTTGGTATATCTTTCGTAGTGGCGGCAGTGGTAGCCTAGTGGTAACTCGCTCACTTGGGAAACCGAGTGAAGCGGCTTCAAATCCCGGGTCTCGCACCTGTGATATTTTTATGTCTGAATCATTTCCAACATGATTACCACATGTCTTACGGTGAAGGAAATCATCGTGAGGAAACCTGCGTGTCTGAGAAAACCTAGCAAGTTTTCGAAAGACATGTGAAGTCGCTACCTAAAAATTACATCTATCGATATCTACAGTAAAAGAAGCTATCGGTTCTTTATTTATTATCTATCTATCGATTATGTCTACTAAAACTCCGCGGTACCTTCATCCTACACCATGACACTGACATCACGTATTATAATTATTTATTAGATTATTAAATATTAGCGACTTACCCTCGCTTCGCTCGGGTGGGTCCCTACATATGTTTCAATTCTTTTCCTATAATAAAAGTAACCTAAGTTTTTCTTTATAACATCAGCTGCATCTGCCAGTGAAAGTCTCGTCAAAAACAGTCCAGCCGTTTCGGAGATTAGCCGGTATAAACAGACAGGCAAACATTTTAACAATTGTGTTTTTCGTTTAAGTACAGTATATAATTTCATTTGCAATTAGTAAAAAGCTGTTATTTTGACATTACAAATTTTATTCAATTTTATTTATCTGCATAGATTTCATCCTCTCTAAAACGCTGTAGTAAAATAAACCGTTATATTATGTTGACAGATTACCTGTTTTAAGATAAATGTCAAATGATCACAGCATCTTGAGAATGAAGCTCTAACATTAGATGTAAAGACATTTTAATGTCTGTTGTTAGCTGTCGCTATAATTTGATACTTTAAGCCGTTTATTGAGAATAGTGATCTAGTGCACTGTTTCCCAATTTATTTTGGCCACGGAACACTAATTGATCATAATTTTTTTCACAGATCCCTATTTTAATAACAATTATTAAATTGATTGTACTGTAGTTAGAATACTTGTTTGACTCGTAAGAAAAAATCATAAATGAAAAATATTAATACTTATAATGATATTTTTGTGCCAAAAATTAACCAAAACCTATTTAATGTGATGAATGATTTTTTTTCATATATTTATTTATAATAACACTAAAATTAAGCTTCATGTCTGACAACGTTTTATTTAACTCTCGGACGGAACTCGGAACCCCTGGTGACGCTTCCACGGAACCCTAGGGTTCCGCGAACCGCTTTGAGAACCGCTGGTCTAAGTGTTTCTAGATCTACAAGACTTATAGTATTCGATCGTCATTAACGAGTTTATTATATGATTTAGGTAATAATGCATTACTGCGTTATATAAGGAGTTTACTTTTACATTAATGAATTATTACGGTTGTTACTGAGGTTTTAATTAAGGATAGTAAAGACTGAGTGGGATTATTAACGACGTCGCTAACGTATCTTTGACAATTTGATAAGGTAATCAAAATAAATTGATGCATTTATTTTTTTTAAATAGAGTTCTCAATTTCTTAGATTGATTGAAACAAATGGACAAACAAGTTGTGTGTATATGCTTCGAAATATGTAAAAAAAATGTTTACTAATGAAATCATACGAGTAACGTAACTTATTAGCAGATATTTACGAAATAGCGTTCTAAACTGTGAGGTGTTAATTTTTCTTTAAATAATCTTCTATAATATAAAAATGAATCGCTGAATGTGTTGGTAAGCGCAAATCTCGAGAGCAGCTGAATCGATTTCGCTAATTCTTTTTTTAGAATATTCCTTGAAGTACGAGGATGGTTCTTACGGAGAGAAAAATTTAAAAAAATGCCTGAAAAAGTCTAACAACAGCACTTTTTTATACTCCCATACAAAAGATTCGTAATAATACTTAAAAGTTGATTTGAACTTTAATACCATACGATAAAGTTTAAGTGTTAGTGGAGAGCTTCCGGGAAGGCAAAACAATTGAGTGACGTTAGTATCGTATAAATATTAATGTCAATATTATTAACAAAAAAAAATTATATGGCTAACGCTAGCTAATAACTATTTATATCTATTTAAAACGTACCTAGCGACGAACCCGAGCGAAGCGAGGGTGAGCCGCTAGTATCTAATAGAATATTTGTAAATACATATGTTGTCATACATTCGTAGGTATTTACATCATCAATCCGCCGTCATGGTGCAGTGGATGTGTTTTATTGACACTAATTAGTGGTTAGAGTTACGGGATCGATTCCGTACCGTTCCGACTGTCGCTTGGTTTAAAGCAATATCCAGCATGCATCGCATTATGATACGAAGTGAAAATCGAAATATATGTAATAATACTAAAAAAATGGAATCGATGCCTTTTTCTAGTAATTTAAGTAATAATTCTTAGATTTACGCAAATATTTTACATTTTAAATAAAACTATTTTTTTTTTATTTTGTTGGGTAGGTACTGTCCGTAACAACTATATCATGACCTTTGAGACGTCTAAAACCTTAGTCTCTCCCGTGACAATGATTGCTGAAAAGCATTCGAAACGTCAGGAACCAAAAATCAAACAAATCGGTGAAAAGAAAACCAGAAATATGGTTTTATATGTACAAGGGAGCTTTACAGCTTTACTTTACATATGAGATTAAAGAAAAATATACAGCAACATGTATTATGTATTTCGCAATTATATCGGCTTCTATTAATCAAGGAGTTTTGTATATTGAATGTATGTAGAATAAATTCAAAAATGGCACTAAAGTACCACTTGCCTTACAATATTTGTTAATTTATTTAGTGTTGCTATTATTGTACTATGTATAACCATAAAGAAAATTAAAAATATCAATTATATTATTGATTTAATGTAATTAAAAAAAATTAAAATATTAATTTATATTGCTATTATCTATACTATAATAAAACTGTAGAGGTCGAATGTCTGTACATAGAAAAAAAAAACTAAATACCGAGTCAGGAGGATGTAATAAGACAAATAGAACAAATCTAGATTTTTTTTTAATTTTTTGTTTCTCTGTCTGTTTGTACGGGCTAATTTCCGAATCTATTGGACCGATTTAAATGACATTTTGCATGGTGGTACCTTATATCCCCGGGCAACATGTTAGATACTTTTCATCCCGGAAAATTAAAGAGTTCCCGTGGGATAGTTAAAAAACTATAATAACTTATACAGCTTAGTAGTTAGTACACAACAACTTATGCACCTAATTTAGTAAAATTGTCATGCTGATACCTTATATTGCTGGTCAAACAACAGGTTACTTTTTATCCCGGAAAAATGAACGGATCCCGTGGGATAGATTTGTTTGTTTGTTTAATTTTATAATATTATTTTAAATACTTTTAGAAAATTGGAAAAAACTTGACAATGTATGTACATATAATAAATAACTTCACTTTCCTACAGTAGTGTAAGCAAACAGAACTATCATTTCATTTCTCGTCCTTCCGTGTTTTGACGACTCGTGTAACTGTCACCAGTCTGGTTTTTTACAAGCTTTAATCTAACATTACCTGTAATTGTAATCTTTGTAAATTATACTCGTAACACTCTGTTGTATATTATTGTATCAATAATTTGATCTCATGACGCAGTGTGACCAGGTAGATGGGAACAATAAAAACTCGACTACAGAATGCGGTTCCGATGTTCTTGAACAAAATAATGCTTTTTTTTACATCTGAACATTTTCCTAAAATAAGACAAATATCTGTTTATTATAATTTTTTTCGTTTTTATGTTAAATTTTAAGTCAATAGGATACGAAGAAATGCTACTAATTCAACTCGCAAAATTTGACACATACAAACATATCAAATAACAAATATTGAAAGCTAAATAAAAGCGTGTAAAAACCGAGTGAATCTCCCAAAATCTTGTCTAGACATTAAACCAAAATAACTACAATAGTATAGAATACGCCCTTATTATATGTTGAAAGTCACAGACAGTCGCTAGTGTCCAAAAGGTCAATGCCTCCACGATCTTACGAAAAGTTATGAATGTTCGTTCGGTGAACGGTTTTTACGACCCTCTTAAATGTTTAACATAGGTACAATTAACTTTCGAGAGCCCACTGTGCCTTGTTGTTATATGGAAGATTTATGACTCTAAAATTGAATTTATACTTTTTTTTTCTATTTTCTACAAGTGTCTATGACCTACATTTGTATACGTACACTATAGTGGGTTATAGTGTGTTATTTTATTTAAATAAGAAAATAAATTAAAATTATTTATATAAATAAAATAGTAACAAATCTGTAAATGAAATATTTTTTTTAAAACAATGACTGTAACGTATTGTGTACAGAATAAAAATCCCAAAACAAAAGTTATCATTTTTTCTGTCTGTATATCTATCTATATCTATCTGTATTTTACCTAATAAAAACTTTTTAACAAAAAAATAAAAACCGACTTCAAACAAAAGCACTAAAAAGTAAAAAATAACTGATTGGTAGTTTTCATTTACTATACATACCTAATCAAATATTTTCGAAGTCGGTGTGCTTTGCTTTGTATGGGCTGGCACCGATTTCGAAAATATTTGATTAGGTATGTATTTAATAGGTAGGCTTTAATTACTTAGCCAAAGCACACCGACTTCGAAAATATTTGATTAGGTATGTATAGTAAATGAAAACTACCAATCAGTTATTTTTTACTTTTTAGTGCTTTTGTTTGAAGTCGGTTTTTATTTTTTTGTTAAAAAGTTTTTATTTTTCCCTTTTTAGTGTAGACAGTAGTAGCAAAGTAAGGATTCTAACGTGTTAGGCTTGTCAAATCAAACAAAATAAGCCCAAACTCAAAGTATCTACTGTTAGCCGTTGAAGATATTCCACCTATCCACCTTCTGGCCTTGCCATCAGATCAGGTCAACAACACCGAACCACTGTACTATCAAAGAAAATAGAAATACTTGCAAAGTTTCAAGTCAATATGACAATTAGAAGTAGGTTAAATTCATCATTAGTTGTTTTTCCATCCTTAGGGGTGGTATTTTTTTTTTGAAATTTAAATGGGACCAATCTGGAAGTATACCCTTTCAAACAAAACAAAAATTGTCCAAATCGGTTAATAAATGACGGAGTTCTGAGGTAACAAACATAAAAAAAAAAAAAAAACATACAGTCGAATTGAGAACCTCCTCCTTTTTGAAGTCGGTTGAAAAGTACTGAACGGATTTTAACTAAATTTTATATAGCGAGAACTTATTAGTTACTTGGATCAACATTTTTACTATACCTTTTACTACAGGAAAATCTATCATTGCCACAGGAAAACACTGGTTCTGTCGAGTCTGCCTTAGAATTTTACATGGCTAACGCTGACTAAACCATAAAGAGATATGTAACACCGGCACCGACTTCGAAAATATCATTTAGTATCTATTCTAAATGTCCGTCCGTTTAGTAATTTTTTACATTTTAGTGCCTGGAAGTCGGTTTTTATTTCTTTTTTAAAAGTTTTTATTTTTCCATTTTAGTGTAGAAGTAATAAGCAGGTAATTTGTAAGAAGAAAGTTTTTTAATAACATATACGATTAAACAATTTATTTAAAAAATATATTTATTAACGATTTTTTAAAAAAACCGCTCGACCGATTTCGGTAAAATTTATATGGGACCACCTGGAAAGTATACACTTTGAAAGAAAAAAAATATTTCCAAATCGAATCAAGCGTCTTCGAGTAATCGGTGAACATACATAAAAAAAGATGCCGACGAATTGAGAATCTCTTTCTTTTTTTGGGAAGTCGGTTAATAAAAATACTTTTACATATGAATTCTTTATAACGACAAGTCTTAAACTTTGCGACCTCCCCGAGATGCACTAGCATTACTTATCCAGTACGAAACTGTATCGGAAAATCGATAGCGTTGCAGTGAACCAAACAGCGGTCCTTGCCAATTGAATTGCTTTTTTACTTTACTTAAATCACTACTCTTAAAATAAATTGAATGAATAAATAGGTATAATTTATTCTTTACCTTTAAGTAATGGAAAATCTATCTATATATCTCATTTTTTTACATCTCATTTAAAACAATTATTATCACATATTTTCACTACGTAGGAATTTAAACTGACTTTAAAAAGATCATATTGCATACAATTTATGCTAATGAAACTCAAATGAGCAGCATTTTATCAACACGTATAGATACATTTAGTGGTGAGATTTGACAGGAACATTTTTCAGGCCAAGGCCATAGCAATCTAATCGGATTTATTTCATAGAAACCGTACAAAATTTCGTACTATCGATAGGTACTTAAAGTAATTTCGCATAAATATTTGTAAATTTGCCTAAATATTGAATTTGTCACGTCAGGTTAATTTGTTATCGGCATTGCCACTTCGATTTGACTCGTGTTTGTAATAATTTTGGGAAATTATATTTTTAAACTTTTATATATCTTTTGGTCCAGTATTGTTTGCTCGAATTATGTAGTTCGGTTTTGAGTAATAGAAAGATTGTTCTAACAAATTTGTTTGATTTTTTACTGATTTTATGTGATATAACTGCATACTCGTGTACGATACATTATTCGCAATGAAACGTTCTATACATGATTCCCACTTATAAACCTAACCGATTCATGACCATTCGTGATTAACAGTGAGATTGTAATTTCAGTTATTCCTAGCTTTCTAATATAGACGTAGAGAGACAATCACCACTCGGACATCGAACCAGCTACTATCGCCACTAAACCCATGCCAAATGTGTACTAGCAAGATTATTATTCTGCTCTGCAAATGTTCTTAGTCAGTTAATTATTCTAGTTCTATATATTACCAGTACGCCCACAATGTATGAGACACACGTGCTATGTCATACCTCATGTCTGCAACTCGTTTTAATGATCATTTAGAAAGATATAAATTGAACTGAATGTAGACTAGTTCAGATTTGTAGTACACGATCGATGTAAAAAAAGTATGTGGGTTTAAAAATATTTATTTACTAGGGGCTCAACCTCGCTTCGCTCGGGTTCGTCGCTGTGTACATTTTAAATAGATATAAATAGTTATAAGCCAGCGTTAGCCATATACATTTTAATTTTTATTTCGTTAATTTTTCATTTTTTCTCTTTATTAAAACCTTCCGTGGACCTTAAGGAACATACGAGAAAAATTTAGCCGAATTGGTCCAGCCATTCTTGAGTTATGCGGTTACCAACATTCATTTTTATTTATATAGATTACTACATGTATTTTCTACACTAGCAGAACCCGCGGTATCCCGACGTATAGCATTCGAAATGTCGGAAGCCAAAAATCCAAATAAATCCGCGAAAAAATCCGAAAAGATAGTTTTATTTAAAATTGTATTGTAATGACACATTTAATTTTTATCATAAAAACGTGATAATATGTCGTTTCTATTTTTTTAGATTTCTATTCTTCAAAGGAGTGTATTCTACACTCATACACAACATACGAGAATCTAAGCCCCAAGCTGTACAATATTAATATTAGTAAAGAAAAAAAGATTATGGCCCATTTATGATCACTGTGCGAAGACTAGTCTATGTATAAATTAATCAGTTATCAATATGTCCTTTATATTTTTTTACTGTTTAAACTACAGTTTAACTAATAGTTTAAATTTTTTCTCTAGCCCGCAGCCCGCACGGCACACCCACAAAGATACCGAGCCCCGTTGGAACGCTGTTACACCGTAGGACACCGGTAAGTGTACACATTTTTATTATTATATATTGTTTTAAATGATTTTTGTATAATATAGTTGGTTTATTCCATATTCTTATGTATTTTTAGTCATTTTATAGATAGGTCGTTTGTGTTTAATTATAACTTTCATAGTCTTATATATATATTTACTTCACTTTTAGTATAACTTAATACTAGCTACGTAGGAACGTATTCATACGTTACAAACTTAAAACAAATATACATTTTTATATATACGTATTTTTTTCGATGATAAAAAACATAGGTAAACGTTGAATAAATTGACATTTATCATGAAAACAATCTAAAGATTTTACTTCTTAGAACAAATTAATATAAAAATATACCGCTACGTAACATTGAGAATTTCAAATGAGGTAGCTGACTACTTTGTTTCAAGGATAAAAAGCTTTATAAATCTATTGTGACTTTTATAGTGTCACTGTCACTGGCTTCATCCGGGGTGTTTGTCCATATTTTTTGTTTAATATAGTCATATAATTAGATATGACTGCCTTTTTATATTAGTGCGTAGAATGGGGGGAGTGGGAGAGGGGAGGGGGGTTTAGTTATAGTTAATCCTACTAATATTATATACGCGAAAGTTTGTAATAATGTATGTATGGATTTAATTTTGTTACTCTTTCATGCCAGAACGGCTGAACGGATCTGGATGAAATTTGGCACAAAGATAGATTAGTCTGGAATAATACATAGGCTACTTTTATCCCGGAAAAATGTACGGTTCCCGTGGGATAGGTTTGTTACTCTTTGACGCCAGAACGTCTGAACGGATCTGAATGAAATTTGGCACAGAGATAGATTATAGTCTGGAACAGCACATACTACTTTTATTTTGGAAAAAAAGATGGTTCCCGTGGGATAGATTAGTTTTTGTTTTTCAATATAAACTATAAAATAATCACGCATAAATCTAGTCAGTCATTCTTTAAAGATGTGAACATAATAATATAGACAGATTCTAATAACTGTATTTGTTACTTCCTTCCTTAAAACACATACACAAATGTAATAAGTATGTTATTTAAATATCTTCTGCCTTATTACGTACTAGCGGCTCATCCTCGCTTCGTTCGAGTTCGCGTTTAGAAAAATAAGAATAATTCTATTCCACGGGATCCGTAAATTTTTTCTGGGATAAAAAGTAGCCTATGTGTTATTCTGATGTTTGAGCTATATTATTGTAAAGTTTCATTATAATCCATTCAGTTGTTTTTGCGTGAAAGAGTAACAAACATCCATACAGACTTTCGCATTTATAATATTTTTTTGCTAGGACTTTTTTATTTGTATAGAAATTCAACGCAAATTTAACTTTTATTTTTGAGTATGACAAATAATATGTTACTCTCATCAAAATTTTTCTTAATATCAGATATGATATTCTATAGGTAGGTACTAGCTAAATTCTGCGGCTTAATCTTTTTGTCTCGACAAATACTTTATATAGTATATTATTATCGTCATATTACATGGGAGTCTTCTGAATGAGCAACTCCGGAAATATTTTTTTCATCAATATCTGCACGGTACCTAATCAGACAGACGGACAGAAATGTAAAAAATCGAAAAAATTAACTATTACATGACTTTAAGGGGCCATTCATAAATTACGTAAGGATGATTTTGACCCCTCTACCCCCATGTAAGGATAGTGGATACCTAAGTTTTCTCGAAACCCATTTTTCTAAATAATAAAACGTTGTTAGAAAAGGATCAGTTACACTAAAACTCACAGTTTGACGTAAATCAAAGATTTGTATTTTTTTATTAGCAGTTAAAATGTGTAAAATAAGATGTAAATCGAAGTGCACATTATGGAATGAAGAAAACCATTCAGCATCCTAAATAGAAATAGATTTTTAATAATAAATTTCGACTTGAAAATATTACATAAGAATGGGTTTTACCCCCCTCCCCGCACCAGATAAGGGCATGTATAAATTTTCTTAATTCAAAATATTTTATTCAGCATTAAATTATTACATTTTTTTACTGAACGTCATGAGACTACTACCAGGTCGGAAAGAAGAAACCTCAGACCTGAGAAGAACAGGCGAAAGAAACTCAGCGGGACTAATATTAACTTGTTATCTTTTTTTAAAGTAAAATTATAATTTACAATATTTCTATCAAGTTGAAGTGTCCTGGAGGCGATCATTTCATTCCCAAGATGTGCCATCTTCTATAAAATCATTTATTGTATAATCTATATATACATCTCCCGGGAAAATGTCGGAAAAGATATTTTTATTTAATGTCAATTATTCACGTAAATTTATAAGAGTATTATGTATTTTTGCTATTAACATTTTAGCTCTAAATGATTTTGTTCCATTAGTGTAAATGCCTACAGTGTACAGTTAGATTGAACTGTACAGTGTCCTGGCAAATGTGACCTAATTTGATAAAGTACGTGTATTTAGCAGTATTTTAATTACTCTTTCTGTTGTAATTGCTTATTAATAAATTACAGCGTAAATATTTACTTTTTATTATTTACTTAATAATATCATAATAGACATTTCTTAATACATAGTTAATTAGATTTATGTAAATAGAAAAATAATGCTACAGTATATTTACACACAGTGATTATGTATAAATATGATTACATACATATATGTATCTGTATTTATAATGATTTCAATAAGATTCTAAAATTATAAGTGGTAAAGTTTTAATGTGATGTAAGAGGTGAACTCTGCTACTGGTGATTCGATTCTAAAAATTCTTTCAGTAAAGAAAACACATTTTTGAATGACATAGTTTGGTTATTATCCTGTTGCTAATCCTGAAATATTAGTATACCTACTAGCGATTTACTCTCGCTTCGCTCGGGTTCGTCTCTAGGTTGATTGCCCATACAAACTTTCATCCCCATTTTCACCCCCTTAAGGAATGGTTTTCGGGATAAAAAGTATCCTATGTCTTTCCCAGAGTCTCAAACTATAGTCTTACCAAATTTTGTCTAAATCGATTCTGTTGATCCAAAGATTACTCCCTGCAACCTCACAAGCTAACAAAGTTTACCTCTTTTATAATATTAGTATAAATAACAATGACTACCTAAAGGACGAACGGGATGTTGTTAGGATATACATAGGTGAAGCAAGAGCTCGTCGATTCGTCTTTGTACTTTGTAGGGACTATATAAAGCATATATTATTATATTTTCGTACTGCAATTTTAATAAAAATGAATAATAATTATTATTTTATAGGAATCAACGGCAGAAATGCGCATGTTTTCAATGTTTATACCTATCAGTGGAGAATAGTTTTATACGTATGTGCACATTATTTTTATTACTACATACATATATATGTATATATGTATATTACGTTGTTTTGGAATAAAGCCATTATCTTTGATTTTCTTTTATTGTAGATAATAACTTTTTATCTATATATTAATATTTTGTAAAACTAGCGACTTGCCCTCGCTTCGCTCGAGTGCGTCCCTAAGCTTGAATGGTTTAGGAACGCATAAAAGACAAACGTCCAAAGAACAATTCTTTTTTTGCGCCAGTAACCTTCTATGGCCTATACAGAATAAACATACGCATATTTATTTTATATATATATATATATATAAATATATATATATATATATATAATATAGAAGATGTATTTTTATAAGTAAGGGAAGGACTAATAATTCACATAATTTTTGCATATAGATAATTCAGACGTCAGAGTGACATATGCTATCTACTACTTATTCTAATAACAATATACGAAATTTCTAGTTGCATAATATATCAAGCTGAATAATGTGTTTGCTCGTTTATTGAACGCGCTAATCTCTAAAACCACCAGTTCGATTTGATTTTTTTTAACATATTATAGCCTATTCAGTGATAGTATATAGACTGTGTAGCATTATATACTCGTATGTACAATTAGGGGCTGATTTTATTCATAAATGTACATCGCGAATGAAACCACGAGCAAAGCTAGTATTGATATATTATAGTTGGTTTAAATATAATTTTATAACGATGTAATATGTCAAGTTCAACACAATTTTATACGTACGATACGTCACGTCGTTCTCACATCAAAGGCCTAACCGACCTACATCCGACCTAAATCAGTGTATCCAAACAAATAAGATATTTAAAGAAACTATAACAATGTTAGCATAACCTTGCATTGTCGTGGTCATGCCAAAATTTCGATTGGTGTCGGGATTTAGTTATTGCAAATACTAATGATTACGTAAGATATCTATCGTTTTATTTGAATAGAATGAAAAGAACACTATGTCGAAAATAAGTTTAAGCGTCACGCGAAAACGGTAGGACTGAATTAAATAGGACTTTGATAATTGTACAGATATTAATTGGAATTTCTACAAACATTTATACTTAGAATTTCAATCTGCAAACATTTATACTTAGAAGTACACCACGTTTTCACTCAGTTACCCTTCAACGAAGAATACTTAAACAATAAGTGTAGATGCAATAGAGACTAATCCTCAGGATTTTTTTTTTTTTTTATCTCTATTTTTATTTAGGGACTTTTATCCTTTTCGGACATGTCAGTCCCATCATATCTTAACCTAAGTACAGCATCACATATGGAAAAAGGGAAATAGATTCAATGTTGCAAAACCATATCCACCAAAAATTTAACAACTTAATTTAACAACAGCTTTTTTTTCGGCGGGTAGACATAAAAGTATATAGACGTATTTTTTTGAGCTCCACTTTATTTAATTAAAATAAATATAACTAATAATTTATATGTGCTGATTGTGTATTACCTGTAATTAAGTTGACTTAACTGAACTCACACACATACTTTAAATACCAATAAACCATGGATACACCAGTGAACAGCTTCTTAAGAGCATGGAGGAACTTTCCTCCATATTCACAACCAGAATGGGAGAGTTTGAAAAAAATTTATCTCAACCGGGTTCTTCTGCTCCTGCTCCAACAGTAAAAGCCTTGGCCGCGGAATTCT